GTCTAGAAAGGAGGAGACTTGCAGAAGTATATAGGATCAAAATAAATGGCCCATAATCCAAAGGGGATGAGAAATAACGAGGGTATAATGTAAAAAGTGAATTGTTATAGGGACTGGGTAGCTGTACATCCAGGTTATTAGTGACAGTTGTAAGAATCTAATAACTGTTCAGTCTTTGAAATTAATTGATCTGTCTAGTACCTAGTGGACAGGTGTCTACATCACAGACTACAAATTGCACTAATTGGCTGTTTGTCTTAGCCAAAAACAAAACTGAATAGACCCTGAACTCAGGGCCGATTTGGCTTTTTGCTGCCCAAAGCAAAGAATGCCTGGCCGGCCGGAGCAGCAAGGGTGCAGCGGCGAAGGCGGGGGGCGGGGGGGGAGAGAACAAACCAGCCGGCCGGAGCAGCAAAGGGGGGTGGGGTGGGAAACAAACCTGGCCCCAACGGTGAGGGGGAGGGGGGAGAGACAACAAACCAGCTGGCCGGAGCAGCAAAGGGGGGGGGGGGATGACAAACCTGCCCCCGGCCGGAGTGGCGGGGGGGGATGACGGACGACAAACTGGCCCGCCTGCCGGAGCGGCGAAGGAAAAGAAAAATAAAAACAAAAAATACCTGCGGGGTGGTGGGAGCGTGGGTGCAGGGGGACTGCCAGCCCTGCAGACCCCAGGCAGCGGAGTGCGCACCCCGGCTGTGGGGGGGGAGAGAGAGAAAGGGGGCGGCCAGGGCTTCCTTAAGCGGGGTGCTTGTCACGCGGCCCCTCCCGCTGCGCCGCCTGCTGGGAGGGCTCTGCGCCGCTCCGTTCGGCAGGCAGGGAAGGACGCGGGCTGCCCTACCGGGCTTGATGCAGGGCACTCCCCTCCTCCGCCCCCTACAGGGCGGCGGGAGCAGTAAACCAAAAAGAAAAAACCTTCAGGGGCGGCCAAAGCGGTGAAGCGCAAAACAAAATGGATTAGATGGAATGCCGCCCTTTGAAATCTGCCACCCCAAGCACGAGCTTGCTCGGCTGGTGCCTGGAGCCGGCCCTGCCTGAACTACATAGGAAAACTCAAGTACACTTAAATTCCTGGAGATCTTTCAGGTTCAGGAAGGAGGTACAATGAGAGAGCATGGGAGACAGACTGCACTTTGCTACCTCTGCTGTGTTGTAGCCACAGAAAAAGTCTTTTGGCCTCCAAGCCAGCCAATCTGGCATTTCTTAGCAGCAAAGAGTTCATTTTAAAACACTGAATTGCTTAGAGATGGTGGTTAAGTGTATAGGTGGACAGAATCAGAAGGCTGCTTCTTTAAAGCTTCTGAATCATGAGTATAGAGGTGAGATACAGTCTGGCCTTCTCTCCTTTCCCTGTGCTTCCTTCCCCCTTCCCCCCTTAAAAAAATGAAACACATGGAGTTTCGGATAATTAGTAATAAATATAAAATCTGTATCACAAGAAGTTTGTTAGAGGATTTGTTAATGAATGTTGGCGGCTGATTATCATACTTTACATGTAAGAACAGGGGTAGGCAATCTATGGCACGCGTGCCGAAGGCAGCACGCGAGCTGATTTTCAGTGACACTCACACTGCCTGGGTTCTGGCCACCGGTCCGGGGGGCTCTGCATTTTAATTTAATTTTAAATGAAGCTTCTTAAACATTTTTAAAACCTTATTTACTTTACATACAACAATAGTTTAGTTATATATTATAGACTTATAGAAAGAGACCTTCTAAAAACGTTAAAATGTATTACTGGCACACGAAACCTTAAATCGGAGTGAATAAATTAAGACTCGGCACACCACTTCTGAAAGGTTGCCGACCCCTGTGTAAGAACATAAGAACGGCCATACTGGGACAGACCAAAGGTCCATCAAGCCCAGTATCCTGTCCTCTGACAGTGGCCAATGGCGGGTGCCCCAAAGGAAATGAACAGACAGGTTATCATCAAGTGATCCACGCCCTGTCACCCAATCCCAGCTTCTGGCAAACTGAGGCTAGGGACACCATTCCTGCCCATCCTGGCTAATAGCCATTGATGGCCCTATCTTACATGAATCTATCTAGCTCCCTTTTGAACCCTGTTATAGTATTGGTCTTCACAACACCCTTTGGCAAGGAGTTTCAGAGGTTGACAGTACATTGCGTGAAAAAAACAAAAAACTGTGTTTGTTTTAAACCTGCTACCTATTAATTTCATTTGGTGGCCCCTTGTTCTTGTATTATGAGGATTAAATAGCACTTCCTTATTTACTTTCTCTATACCACTCATGATTTTATAGACCTCTATCATATCCCCCCTTAGTCGCCTCTTTTCCAAGCTGAAAAGTCCCAGTCTTATTAATCTTTCCTCATATGGAAGCCGTTCTATACCCCCCAATCATTTTTGTTGCCCTATTCTGAACCTTTTCCAATTCCATTATGTCTTTTGTGAGATGGGGCGACCACATCTGCATGCAGTATTCAAGGTGTGGGCGTACCATGGATTTATATAGAGGCAATATGATATTTTCTGTCTTATTATCTATCCCTTTCTTGATGATTCCCAACATTCTGTTCGCTTTTTTGACTGCTGCTGCACATTGAGTGAATGATTTCAGAGAACTATCCACAATGACGCCAAGATCTCTTTCTTGAGTGGTAACAGCTAATTTAGACCCCATCGTTGTATATGTATAGTTAGGATTATGTTTTCCAATGTGCATTACTTTGCATTTATCAACATTAAATTTCATCTGCCATTTTGTTGCCCAGTCACCCAGTTTTGTGAGATCCTTTTGTAGCTCTTCGCGGTCTACCTGGGACTTAACTACCTTGAGTAGTTTTATGTCATCTGCAAATTTTGCCACCTCACTGTTTACCCCGTTTTCCAGATTATGTTATGAATATGTTAAATAGGACTGGGCCCTGGGGGACACCACTATTTCCCTCTCTCCATTCTGAAACCTGCCCGTTTATTCCTACCCTTTGTTTCCTATTTTTTAACCAGTTACCAATCCATGAGAGAACCTTCCCTCTTATCCCATGACTGCTTATTTTGCTTAAGAGCCTTTGGTGAGGGACCTTGTCAAAGGTTTTCTGAAAATCTAAATACACTATATCCACTGGATCTCCTTTGTCTGCATGCTTGTTGACCCCCTCAAAGAATTCTAGTAGATTGGTGAGGCATGTACATAGCCTTTTTCATCCTGAGGAAAACACAAGACTTTATGGAAACATTCAGGTATTTGTGGGGTTGTATCACTGGGAGATCCATTTCTGTGAAGCTTCTTTTCAACAATACAGAGCTTCTAAACTTCACAGGACAGGCATTCTCCTTTGTTAGGAACCAGGAGAGACTAGGCAGAGATACTTGCTCAGGATTTACCTTGCATGCTTTTCCTTTGAGGCACCAATTAAGAGCTCATAAGCATACAGGGTATCGCTGGATAAAATAAATGACTTTGGTTAACCACAATTTTGGTGGCTGAAGTTTGCTTGTATATAGAATACTAGTCAAACGCAGCCATTCTGGGATGGGAGCCACCAGCACAGTGCACAGTACACTGCATTAGGGTGAGGGGGGAAGATTTTGTCCAAGATGTGTGGGCAAACACACAACCTTGATAAAACTGCAATGGGATCCTTAATGTCCATGCATTTCAGAGAGAACTTTTTTTTTCTTCTCTTCCCTGGAGTGCGACTAAAAGTGACCCCTTATTCAGCCAATCTTGCTTCCTGAGTGTATTCAGAATAATATCTCTTTACAGTATTGACTAAAGTTTAGGTTTTTTTGTTTTTTTTTAAACTGTTGTTAGTTGGCCTAACCTCAGTGCAGCTTAGTTGAGTGATTCTGTTCTGGATCATGCATCAACTACAAAATTAACTAGGTGATGAAACAGGGCTTTGGAGCTGTGTTCCGACTCCGGAGCAAACTCCAGGCAAAAACCTGCAGCTCTGCTGCTCCGGAGCTGCTCCGCCCTTCAGCTCTGGGCTCTGCTCCAAAGCCCTGGAATCTACATCAGTGATACATGAACCAGAAAAAACTCAGATTCCAGGTTGAGTTTGCAGTGTTGTCCATTAGAGAGAGAGAGTTTTCACATGTAAACTGATTAGATTTGATGTAGTGGGATTAAGACAAGTATGGATCCATGCTCTGCAATTTATAACTTTTAGGTGCAGAACCTCATTTTAAGGTCTCATATGAAAGATCCACTTGCAGTACATGCATGGGATTCTGTGTGTTAGATTGGAGATGAATGTAGTGATAAGAGTGGTTGCAGATAGATATAGCTTGAAAGGAAGCCTTCATTTAACTTTTTTCACTTGCAGAATTTTTGAGTGATTTAGAAAAATAAACACCATCCCAAGGGAAAAACTACACCTGTGTCTAGTAAAATACTGTAATCTGGCTACCTGTGTATGATACCTTTAAAGAAATGTATATAATTTCATGTTCTACCCATGCCAACATAAATCCAGTTAAAAATATTTCTGGTAGAGGAACTGGTTACCTAAGGATTGGTAATGGGATATATAGAGCCTTTCATCTTCAGGTTTCTTATTCTAATCTAGCCCAGGTCATTACGGACTGAAACATGCTGCTGTGTGATGTCTGTCTGGTGAACTGGAGTGAAATGAGTCTGCTGTAAATCCACTTTCCAAGGTATAGGTATTGATGTGACTGTAACCACCCCCACAAATGGCATTACTTGGCAATCTTAATAGAGAGACCAAAAACTAAATGGTGTGGGACTAAACTGCTCTTATCCCCAAGATAGTACCTCCAGATTGAGGCCAAGGCACATTGATTTTAAGAGTCTGGAAAAACTTGCAGTGTCACTTCTTGTGCTAAGCTTGTTCTGTGGATAAACAGTATTTAAGTCTTCAGAGTTATCAATCTGGAACCTTTCACAGAACTAAAACTTATACTGTGGGGTTTTAAAGAGAGATCACTTGTTTTCTGCTAAATGTTCTAAAAGTTAACTGTGTAGGAAATAAAATATATTTTTAATAATACTTTTATGCATGTTTTACAGGCTGGGGCACTGGATTTGCTAAAGGAGCTTAAGAATATACCTATGACCCTTGAGTTGTTACAGGTAAATTTTTTACATTGCTGTTATATTTTAAATATGAGCTTTTAAAAGGCAAAAATAAAACCTAAGAGATTCTTAGATGGAGATCTGAGGTCCACCAGACAATTCTCTGTTCCTTCATCGGAGTACAGTGGAAAAGGTTTCATTTAGATTACAAAATCTTTGGGGTAGGGAACTGCCTCTTTGCCTGTCAAGTACTGTACACCTGTGCTGCTTTGCAAATAATAAACCAAAATATATTGTCCATTTACCTAGACTGAGTCTTTCTGTCAGTTTGCATGCACCACCATAACTGGAATACACACAGACAAGCCATCTCAAAGAACCACAGTTACTGTGCGGTAAATAACCAGTCTTTTCCTCCACACCAACTTATGGCAACTCTTTTAGATTAGCTCTTGTCCAGGAGCAAGCCCTTGCCGATGCTTTTAAAACTTTTCTGTTTTATATATTGGCTAGAAAGATTGTGCATTGAGGCACAGCCCGAGAAAAAGGCAGCTTATCAACTATGTCGGCCTATTAGGGTGTCTCAGAGACGTATATTAGAGGCACAAATCTCCTGTGCTCTTGCACTGAGGAAGGAGAGAAACCTATTACAACCCTTTACAGGTGTAGCATGCTCTCTTCCTCTTGGATCTAGTCAACTCCACTGATCAGATCATAAGTGAGTGGAGCCATAGTTCTGCCCTGCCCCGTCCACTTGTTCACAGTGGGGATATGTTGGGTATGCAGCCTCTTTCTGCTTTCCCTGTATGTTAGTCGGTGAATAGGGTAGGTCTTATACAGCCATGCAGGTAAGTATAGGGGAGCCTAATATTCCCTTGCTCCCCCTTGCGTCTGGTGAGGTGAGAGTGGTGTACAATCTAGCTCTCTTTTTGAGCTTTACTTATATCCAGGTATGCCTTTAATTGAAAACTAGGCTTTAATTGGGCCACAAGTAATCTTGCATTGAGAGGGGGGAAAAATCTATGATGATGAAATTTTCCCGAATCTGCAAAGCTCTTGGCATTGTCCCATGAGGAAACACTTTGAAAGTAATGGTATTGTACTTAATAATTGTAACGCTTGGTAGCAAGTGCTGTAATTAAGGTTGGAGGATACTTTCAAATATTACTCTGTTTTTACTTGCTTATAACTTTAATAGAATGCTTTCGATAATTTAGTTTCGGCCAAAAAATGAATTTTTGGTGGTTGCGAGTTTAAAGGAAACCCTTCTAGCTGTGTCTGAGTTATGAAGCTGAATGGTTTTTTCCCACTCTGTTAGAAGAATTTCCACACTTTATTTCTATGATTAAAAGCAGATGGACTATGAAACTTGCATGTTACTCAGCAGTGAGTAAGCTCTTGGGCTAAAGTAATTGGATGTATAATAATTGTGAAAAACTCAATAGACAGCTAAGATTTTTACCAGAGTCTAATGAAGGCCTTTCTTCTTTGTGACATTGCAATACACACTGCCGCTGTGACAATTTGAATTAGAGGCATTGTACGTAAAATGCAGTCTTCCCAAATGACACTTTAACAGTAAGGCTGCACAGATAATATTTGCATTTCCTGATTAATTTTAAGGTTTCAGTGGCAGTGCTAGCCTTGCCACATTGTACGTCCTGTATATTTTGTGGAGTACACTTATAAATTATATTGTTACTCTTCCAGAGAAAAGACTACATGTATCCAGTGTGGTTGAGTTAACATTGCAGGAAAAATACCATCAATTTTTTAAAAGTTTTATATTTGCCACTTACCATACTAAATGCAAAGAATTTTATTAGCTATGGAAGTCTATGAAGGATCCAAAAGTGCTTTACAAACTATGTATAAATTCCTCTACTGCCAAAGTCCAGCCATCTATGAGGTGGGAAGATGGCGGCCATGTAGCTAAATTGGTGCACAGTGCCATGAATGAAAGCCTGAGGTGGGATGGAGAAACTTTGACCAAAAACAGCAGGACAAATTCCACTCTTACTGCATGAGACCTTCAAGGTCCATGTGGATTAAGCATGGTCTTTGTTTTAACTGCATCAAAATTGATGAAACAAATTGATGACTGGAATTCCAATTCATAGTTCCAAAGAAATATAGATTTCATACCTGATACGTACATTGCTAACCTATCTTCTTTACCTCTCTATTGCTGTACATTAAATTATCAAAGAAGGAAATGCCATACTTTAAGACCAAAAATGCCAATCTGTTGTGCCAAAACATAATTTATAATTCTCAGTTTCTTGTTGCTTGTAACTTTATATTAAGCTAATGTTTCAGGTTTGACTTAATCATGGATTTTTCTTATGGTTTACATAAAAGGTTAAGATACTGGAAAAACCCACCAAACAAAATAACATTGTGTTCTTTGCTCTCTGAGCTGATAGTGCCATCCTTCCCTAAGAGGGAGCTACCTGTCCAATGTCCAATGGATTCCGCCTCTCCTATCTTGCCTGATGCTTGTAGCAGTGTCCTGAGACAGTTATGGGATCTATAAAAGAAAGAAGCTCCTCCTTACCACATTTTTCCCCTGCCCCCCAAAAGAAGTATAAAGATTGGAATATCTTTGTAAAAGGGCATGGTGGATAGTTTACTTCATTGGTTAAGTAATAAAGTGCTTAATTTGTTAAGACTTCGAGGAAACAAGCCAGATAGATTAAGATTTTCATCACTGTTCTGTATAAGCCATATCACGCTACATTTTGACCAACACATTTCTCTGCCACGCATGCCTCTCATCTCATTTAGTTTAAAATTTAATAATCACACATTTTTTTAAGTCAGAGATTTCCCAGTTCTGAGGCCTGAGGTTATTTGATGGGTTTCCTTTACTAAAACCTTGCAAGAATCACCTGCTTAGAAACTTGAGCAGTTGTCATAGTCCTTGTTGCTCACAAAAATGTGGTACTGGGGTTTTGATTGGGTGGAGGGCATGGGGTAGAGGAACAAATGTGTAACACTGCCAATATAAATAAAAAAAACGTCTTAATTTTCTCTTTAAAGAAGAAAAATAGTAATACCAGGCCATTACAAAGTAAAATAGAATAAACAGTCATAGCAGCTAGATCCTAAGATGTTTGAAGGTCTCTTTTCTTTGACAAAAATACAAAAAGGAATGCAAAAAAAGTGAGCCTATTAAAAGCAATATGAGAAATACACATTGCATTAATGGCTTAAATGACTTGAAATAAGAGTAACTCAACCTTTGTTAAAATTTGGCAATAAAGACAGGCTAGCGTTATATAAGCAAGATTGCTATTTTTTTAGCAGAAAGTAATCTGAAATCAAATTAGAAAACTGTATTAAATTTTTTTTGGCAGATGTTTCAGTTTTGGAGCAGGAGGAAGAGGGGAAATTGGAAAAATATCCCTGTACATGGATAGACCCCTGAATAACTTGGGAGTATATTAAAGTAAGAAATAACAAATTATTGTGCTAAATTGAGATTATATCCCACCTGCTAAGTTATAAAAGGAATGGATTGTAGAAGAATCTCTTCCTAACACTGTCGGTGGCAGTTGCACTTGGAGTTTTAATTGCTGCTACTAACAGGCAGGTATCCTCAAAGTAGTAAATGAGTTTATTGTGTATACAATATATAAGACAAAAAGGATAGAATGTTAGTAAAATTCTTGCTAGTCATGTTCTATGATACTCTCCATCAATATTTTAGCTTTTCTCCGAGCTATTTGCCGAAGGATGGGATTTTCTAAGGCAGTGGTTTTCAACCCTTTTTCATTTGCAGACCCCTAAAAAATTTCAAATGGAGGTGTGGACCCCTTTGGAAATTCGACATGTGGTCCGCAGACCCCTACCATAGAAGTCTTAGACTGAAAAGTGACTGAACAGAATTCAGCTATAAATGTTGCATGTCCTTGGCACGGCATTTGATGCAGCGTGAGAAAGGACACTAAACTGGGCATATGTGGTAATGACAACACTTCTGGGCTTTGACCTGTAGGTGGGGGTATTGACATACTCTTGGTTGATCAGAAAAATGGAATGCCTTTTCTGGGACATGAAACTTTATTTTTATTAGTCACCTTTCACGGACCCCTTAGACATAGTCTGCAGACCCCCTGCGGTCCACGGACCACAGGTTGAAAGCAACTGGTCTAGGGAGTTTAAGTGAATTAGGAGCACATCTCATGGGAAGTAAATGGGATTTGTTCTTTGAAGTCACTTAAGTGCTTGTGAAAATCCCACCTAAGATCTACTGAACTAAATTGATCATAATTATGAAATTCAAAATTTCTAACACTATGCAAACATCTATAAATCATTTTAATATTTTAAAGTTTTGGCAAACCATTGCTGTAATTTAGGTTGCATAATAGCTTTCATTGTAAACACTGAAAATTTTTTAACTTTCCTCTTTTGAGGCTGAAATACTCAGTAGTCTGTCTGAAGATGAATTGTTCTGGGAAATTTGAGCAGTAGTTCTTAAGCTGTCTTTAAGGGCTAGGAAACAGACAATAAACATGGTCTTTTAAAAACAGTTTTCCAGTCAAAATGGAAAACAGTGAGAATTATCTTTTGGCAGCTACAATATGCCGTTGATTGCTAACAAGTATAAATATTGAACCTTGGGGACATTATTGACATTTTAAATGTACGTTTCTTAAATTACTTGTTCCTGAGAAGTTTCTTGGCTCACTAAAATGAGAACAGCAGTCATCAGGCAGCCTCATAGAAAAGGTGGATTTGTTTATGTTCATAGATATATCTATGCATGTTGTCCCATCTCTCGTACTCTGCCTTTACCAGTCTTCTGAATAATAAGGGGTACTGAAATATTATAGGATCCTGTGCTGAGAGAGTGGACTTCTAATACACGAACATTGCCTCAAAGGAGCTTTAAATGTATCATGGCAACGTGGCTGTTTTTTTTTTTTAAAGTCATGCTATAGGATAACATCAAGTGATGCAATTTCTTTTTTCCTTTTGTAGAATGGACCTCTATCTAATATATTGAATGACCCCCACTTAAACCATAAAACATGTATTTTGTTCCAAGTGAACCTTTTTTTTTGATTGCATGCTCCTATCAATAAAATGTGTTTTATCTTATCGGTATAAATGTGCAGGATGTCTTGTGAAAATCAATTCAGTAAGGATTTGCAACTTCATAAAGTAATTTTAGTCAACTTCATAAGGATACAACTGACTGGATGTTTACCTTGCATTGTCAAAATGCAGCTTAGCTTTTTGTATCTGTTAAATGTCTTTCACAAATTGTAATGTATATCTTTTTCTGTTGCAGTCCACAAGAATTGGAATGTCAGTGAATGCAATACGCAAGCAAAGCACAGATGAAGAGGTTACATCTTTAGCAAAATCTCTCATCAAGTCTTGGAAGAAGCTATTAGGTATGACTGCAAAAAGCTTTTTAACAATCTTCCTTCTCCCTCAGGCATTTAATTATTTGTATTGTGGGCATTATAAACTACTGCCACCATTTTTATTCTTGGCTCACCAGTTCTCCCATTCAATATTGAAGATTTTTCTGCATCACCTGTACCATTTTCATTTTCCCTATGCCCTCTATCACTGCATTACTCATGGGTCCCCTTAAGGGCCATAGTCATTGTAGCTTCATTGGGATAATGAGTTGCTAAGAACAGAGCAGCGTGAAGCATGTCTCTGTGACATGACTAATATCTATTGGACAGTCTCACTGCTTGCTACTGAACTTAATTCCCGAGTGGACTTATTGCAGCATTAAAACCTACTGACCTTTTGTTTGTCTGGATCAACTATTCTTTGCCTCCAAAGTCTTTACACTACCTTTACATCAAGGTGTTAAAGGGTTTTAATCTTAATTGTCAGTGGGTCATAAACTATAGGAAAAGAAAATACAAAATTCAAAAGTTGATTTAATGCTATTAGTATTATGACTAGTACATAGCTCCAGTCTTATAGTAAGAAAACTAAAGTCTAACTAGTTCTGTGTGCCTCTTGCTCACTCTCTCTGAAACCTCAGTATTCATTAAAGGCACATGAATAAAGTGGATGGAACTTAAATAGTATTCCTTTAAATATTATGTACTAATTATTAACACATCTGAGGAAATTATTCTTACAGCATTTTTTATGCCAGGACAAATCACATCACTGTAATCTTAGTGCAGTTTTAAACACCTGAATCTGAAACTCATGAACAGTGTTTATTTGGAACATTGCTGATTACTCATATGTGGCTTCATCTCACATTCATATAAACTTAAATGTAGGGAGTTTCTTCTGGTAGCTTAATCTTTAAAATGTGAGGTCTGCTTTTGTTTTACAGAAATTACAAGAGCTGCTGGATTAATAGAAGTCTTTTCAGTTTTAGACAAGTGTGCTATGCCAGCTGTCATCCAAGTTAGCTAGCTATACATTTCAAGGCAATCTAATTTCATCACCTTCACTCTTTTCTAAATGCTTGCAGGAATAGTTTGGCATCCATTTTAGAAAAGTGTTTCAATAAAAAATGACAAATTATGGGAGTGTTCTTAATGGGGGTGTTTCTAAAGTAAAGGCTTGTAAATGCTGAATTAAAGCATGAAACAATATATAGGACTGTAATACCTGGTTGAGCAGGCATTTTCTGAAGGCAGAAGTGCAGCAAGTGTACTGGTGAACAAGCTTCTAAAATCATGTCCTGTTTTGTTATTACCAAGAGATGTACTTGACCAATAATTTGATCTGATGTCTCTGGTAAATGTAACCTAATAAACTCAGATGCATACATTTTTGTATGCCTTTATGTCAATATGAAACTTAGTGAAGTCTTCCTTGTACTTTGTCTACCTGTTATGTAAAACTGGAATTTGATTCCGTATAAAAACAACTGAGCAAAATGCTGATAAATGCTAAGAGAACAATACAAAATGTTTTTTTTCTTATTCAAAATGTAAATTCCTGCTGTTCTGATGTAAATAAATTAAAAATATACCCTTCTTTCCAAAACTTGTTATAAATTATCAGTAAATTATCCCAATCACTAAAGCAACAAATGATATTTTCTTTATCATTTTCAGTGCAAACCTACAGAATGTGCTAATATTTTTTTAATTTCAACCATCTTAACTTTAATCTACTTTTTCCAGTGACATGTTTCTCCTTTTTCAACAATCTCAAAATATCCTGGAAAGCCAAACTTTTTTGAGGAGAGAAACATTTTCCAATTATTGTGAAGATTTTTCCCCCCATCTAATACAAGTAATTAATTTGAAAATATTCTGAAAGAACTGCAGATGGCTTCCACTGGGATTTTCCTCAGGATCGTAAAGCTGGAGAACTATTTTTAAAAACAAACCATGGATAAGCAAGAGTTGTCCATATGTCTCCTGAATTTTAAATTACGTTGAGATTTTTAATTACTAGAGATCAAAATGACTACTCCAGAAGTATATAGTCAAATATCCACTAGCAAGTAGGTGTAGCAGATCTCTATTGTTAGTGAGGTTTTTGAAGAAATGGAAAGGTCTTGGACATACTTTAGAAATTGGGGGAAGATCTTGGATAGATAATAAAAATGCTGATTAATCACCAGTTCATGGTCTGATGAATATAGCTTTAAAAATAAACTTATACATTGTAATTCTGACAGTGAAGGAAAGATTTTAACAGTAAATAGGATGAGATTTCAAATTTCAATGCAGTAAGTGATGATAAAATGTACCTGAATTTCAAATTTTGTCCACCAAACTTCTCATTCCCCTGGCCTTGTCTGAATGTATACCTTACATTTTTGTCCCATATACTTAAGAGGACCCCTAAGATAGATAAATAGTTCAGAGGACATCTATATTGTCATTTCTTGGTGTGACAAAAGACATAAATGGAAGATTAAAAATCCTCATAAATTGAAGAAAAGATTCAAAAATTGTAGCAATAAGGATAAAAAGAGCTCAACTGACTGGAACATTGCTTACTATGGAGAGGCTGCAATTACCAAACATTGCAACTTTTGGCATTTACTTTGTAGCTGTGAGACTAGCTACTTTTGCCTAAATCTGACACTGGATCAAAATCACTTATTTGAGAAGCAGTCAAAGACCCACAAAAAGACTGAGTAGTCTAGATTTCAGAGTAACGACATGCCAGGCTTTAAAGTTTGGCAAAGAGCTTCTTGATTAAATCAAAGCAGAAATAATTTCCAAAACATAACAAATGTTCCTTTGGATTCAGTGTATTTGTTCTGCTTGTCTTTACCAATCCTTACCTTGACGATGACTGATTTTTAAACATTAGAATATATTGAGACATATGAAAGTGTTTCTCTTTAGAGGAAGAATTAACCTATTTCTATGTGCACTTTGAATACAGTAGAATCTCAGAGTTACGAATACCAGAGTTACGAACTGGCCAGTCAACCACACCCCTCATTTGGAACTGGAAGTACGCAATCAGGCAGCAGCAGAGACCAAAAAAAAAAAAAAGCAAATGCAGTACCAGTACTGTGTTAAATGTAAACTACTAAAAAAAGGGAAAAGTTAAAAAAAAAAAAAAAAAAAAAAAAAGAGAGATTTGACAAGGTAAGGAAACTGTTTCTGTGCTTGTTTCATTTAAATTAAGATGGTTAAAAGCAGCATTTTTCTTCTGCATAGTAATGTTTCAAAGCTGTATTAAGTCAATGTTCAGTTGTAAACTTTTGAAAGAACAACCATAACGTTTTGTTCAGAGTTACGAACAACTTCCATTCCCAAGGTGTTCATAACTCTGAGGTTCTACTGTAAGTTCAATAAAAGATCATTCTTACTCCCATTAAAAATGCTGGTTGGCTAGAATTCTGGCATGTAACTGTACTGATATCAAGTGGCACTAAAGTTTTGAAGAATTGGAAAACTGGTAGCAAGAGTTTGTGTTGGTGGTAATTAAAACTGAATCTTTTTTCTGAGACAGAGAGATGTGACGACACTGTATCCAGAACCCCAATTATTATTATTTCAGGAGAAATGTGTGTAATTGCACCTGTGTATCCTGTCGGGTCTATTAAAATCACTGCCATACATGAAAACATAGCATTGATCATGCACAGAACTGACTGACTCAATCACCGATTTCCTTGGTCACTGTTTAAATCTGTTTCTCATGCATACCAGGGGGAATGTTGGTTCACTGCTATAAACTCCAACACATTATTGGAATTTAAAATGAATTACGTTGTAGTGCACTGTAGAGTTGTGCAACTGGGCCAAGAGGGTGGAAAAGTTAGGGGCTTTATTTTGTTTTGTCATTGGTTTTGACTTTCACAGAAGAATTCGGAATACTGTATGTCTGGCTGCTGTACAAATCATTTCAATTATGCTGTTTGTAGTGCTTGTAAAACAGGGTATGGATCAAAGATGGCAACAGAGGCGGACAGCTGTTAACTGTTCTGAGCTCTGAAACCTTTTGTGAGTTGTTCATAACTGAATTTTTGAACTTGACCTCTTTTTACTTGACAGGTTGTATATACTTCTTAAAAGTTCAACAAAATGTTTAATTTACAAATGAAGAGAGAACCTAAAAGAAATCAGGTGAGGTTTTGAACCTCAGAGAATAATCAAAATTTCTCTTGATGAGAACCACATGAAGTGAGAAAACAAAGACTGGTTACAATATTTTTGAAGCTGAGCTAGTAGACTCTCAGGTGGTGGCTTCCGAGCATCTTCTGAAAGGAGACTTGGTGAGAACTATAGGACAAGATCACTTTTTACAAAGTGCAGATAATGCTTGGAAGACCTTAGAAGCTACACAGGCCAAGGGGATACAGTTCAGATGAACATGCAAACTGTATTACTGGAGGTCATAAAAAAATCTTTCAGCCATGTGATGAGAGGAGAAAAATCTTTGCAAGTAGCGACACTTACCTGATATAAAGTAATATCAATTAAGTTGGAGCATATAGGAAATACCATGAAGTATCCTAACCTGCAAATGTCAGGTTAGGATACTTCTGAAAAGCTTCTGAATTCCCATAGGAAGTTTGACCTTTGGAGGGAAGGGCCTGTTGTGACTATTGCTCAAGTGAATAATTATAACAAATAGACAAGGTGGGTGAGGTAATATCTTTTCTTGCACCAATTTCTGTGGGTGAGAGACACAACCTTTTGAGCTTACAGAGAGTTGGTTAGGTCTGGGAAACTTAATCAGAGTGTCACAAGCTAATGTTTGAACAGATTAATTACTTATGCTAAACAAACATTTCAAGTGACCATTCAAGTTGAAGTGGCCGGCTAACACCTCTCCACTCATAGGGAGGAAAGGAAGAAGGGGGAAATCTCTGAGGGGTTGTGGTTGTTAGTGGATTAGAGATTGTTGTAATAAGTCATAAATTCAGTGTCTTTATTCAGTCCATGATTTTTAACGTCTAGCAAAGTTATGAATTTAAGCTCCCAGGCTCGTCTTTTAAAAGGGTTGTGCAGGTTTCCTTTGAGGAAGAGGGCTGAGAGGTCAGATACAGAGTGTTCATTTTGTGAAAAACATTTACCGACAGGTGATAGGGTGTTTTTATCGTCTATCATTTTCCTGTATAAGTTCATTCAAGTATATCTGAAAACTACCCTATGTAAATTAAAACGTCTAATTAGAAAAAGAATCATTCAGTAATACGGCCTGGATTTCCAATGAGGAAACATACTTTATATTCCTGGAGACAATGGGTATGTCTACACAGCAAAGAAAAACCTGCAGCTGGCCCATGCCAGCCAATTCAGGCTCATGGGGCTGCGGTGGCGGGGTTGTTTCATTGCTGTGTAGATTTCTGGCCTCAGACTGGAGTCTGAGCTGTGGGACCTTCCCACACTGCAGATGTGTTTTTTGCTGTGTAGACATACCCAATGTAGCTACTGATATCTGCACCACAAAAAAAGGGAGGTAATATGTATGATGAAAACCAGTCCTTTTACTCTTGTGTCAACACATCTCTCCTGGTTTGTCTTTTTATAAGGAAATCTTATAAACCATACCAGACAGACTTTCCTGACTCTCATACTTAATAATCTGGAGTTTCTTGCTCTACTCCTGCTTCTCTGTGAAACTCTTCTCTCATAGTGTTGTTTCTCAAAGTGCCACTACAGTATCTTTCCTCCTTGGATGTAAATTGCTGACAAGTGGAATTACCTGTATATTCTCTGTTTCAAGATTATTTTGTTAGTGCTTGCAGGAATATTAAAATATGGAGGGCATTTTTTAAATTGTCAGCCACCACTCTCACCTCCACCCACCTTCCTTATGTAAAGTGACTGTTAAGAAAGTTTCCCAGTCTGCTGCTGATGTATCAGAGAATTATGTGTGAATCAGCAACCTGTGATATTCTAGAACTATAGCATTAGAAGGAACTGTAAGGGTTGTCTAGTCTAGTCCCCGGCCAAGGAGCAGGATTTGTTGTGTCTAAACCATCCAAGACAGATGGCTATCCAACCTCTTTTTGAAAACCTGCAGTGAAGGAGCTTCCACAACTTCCCTAGGCAGTTTGTTCCATATCAGTATAACATGAGATTCATCAAGTGAAATTGTAGGCCAGTTGGTGGAAAAAGATGACAAAGTGCTAATACAACTCTAAAATTCCTGGTGAAAATATTCATGCAGTTGACGATAGAGAATGTAAGAATGGGTGAGGTTGTCTGCATATATAGAATATTTACTGTATTATACATCAGATAAATGTTCTTTAGTTTCTATGGTGATTACTTACCTGTTCATACATAAAAAAGGGGAGGGGTCAGTTTTCCTTCTATATGAGAAATGCAAATGTTTTTGTGTTTTAACGGTGTACTTGTTGAACTAGTCATTCTTCTTACGGTTTTAGTTTTCTTAATACATAAATATATATTGTGGGTTTTCTTTTATTTTAATCTTCAGGACTTTTAAAATACCACTTCCATTTTAATGCAGCATCTATTGTATTTGGATAATTTTATGTTTTCTTTTCTGTTGTCTTCATTCAGGGTGATGAGTTTTAACTAAGTAATTCATTTTTTTATTTGATAGTCTCTTAAACCTTTGATCCCCTAGTTTTTTGTTTGATCTTGTCTGTGTGGACTTAACTATAGAACTATATGGTGCTTTTTAAATAAGCACTGAATATGTGGTAGTTTCATCCTAATCATCAGGGCAGAGTTTTCAAACTTGGATGCCTCAATAAGTGGCTTGATTTTCACAGGTATTGAGCACTCTCAAATTCCCATGCAAATTGTGGGTACTCAACCCTTATGGAAATGAACTACATTGCATTTAACTTATACTTAGCTGCCATTTCTGTCCTATAAGAGGCAATGCTTATTTCATGGTTTGTACATTTCCAGATGGACCATCAACTGATAAAGACTCTGAAGACAAGAAAAAGGAACCTGCATCTTCATCACAAAACAGTCCTGAAGCAAGAGAAGAAAGGTATTTGAACCTGTGTGTGTGTGTGTGTGTGTGTGTGTGTGATATAAAATGAACTAGCAAAACAGATGAATTATTAATGTGAAGAATCAGTTTTTTCATAGGTGCTTCCCTAAATATTTAATTTTTGTACAAGTATATCTGGGACTAGGGAGGGCTGCCACGTTCTTGTATCAAACACACAATCAATGTCTAAAAAGTGGTGATGCCTGCACTGTCATCAAGGTTGGACAATCATTATAGAACAAAATAGTCATCCAGGTCTTTTGTGGTGGGGATGAAGGTAAGTCAATCCTGCTGTTAATAATATGAAAAAATGGCAGGTGACTAGCTACAATATGGGTCAGGTAGTCAAAATATCCATCCTGCCTGCTGAAGTCATCTATTTAACATTCTTACTCTACAATACTAGGAGTCTTAACAATAACCAGCCTATTTTAATCAGTATCTTGCATTTTAGGTAGAAACTAGGGCTGACAAGTGATTAAAAAAATTAATCGCACAATGAATCGTGCGATTAATCGCACTGTTCAACAATAATAGAATACCATTTATTTAAATATTTTTGGATGTTTTCTACATTTTCAAATATATTGATTTCAATTACAACACAATACAAAGTGTACAGTGCTCACTTTATATTTATTTTTTATTACAAATATTTGCATTGTAAAAATGATTAAAAAAAAATAGTATTTTTCAATTCATGTCATACAAGTACTGTAGTGCAATCTCTTTATCGTAGAAGTGCACACCCTGTTTGGGTATTGGACTATGCCCTGGACTCCGGGCTTCAAATTTTGTGGTTCCTGCCTGTATTCCTTCTTGGTCAGTGATAACCACCTATGCTGCTTATACTATCTCAGGGAAAGCCCACATTGTAGCAAGGTGCAATACCTGCCCTTTCTTCCCCTGCCATACCCGGGAAGGGTGGGAACTTCTCTTTAGGAAGCACCTAATGGAAGACTGCAATTGGACCCAGGCCCGGGGAACCTACGCCCCATAGATCAGCCTTACTCAGCAAGGAGTGCGTCTCCTGCCACAAGATCCAATTCAAGAGTGAGGGAGTCTTCTTTCCTCTCTCTCTCCCCTCCTCCCCCCAAAATCCGTCAATGGGCCTTGTCAGGAGAGCAAGGAGCATTCTCGTAAACATGAGGTTGTCTTCCTCCAAATCCTCTTTGAAGACATCTGATTCAGCCCTGCCTAAACCAGGCAAGTCTATAAGCTTCAACTCAAGAGAACATAGAACATCTTAAGTCTCAGGGGCATGTGACAAGTCTAGGGCTCCATCAGCACCAGATTGTGATCCGTCGGCACTGGGGCCTCTGGTAGTCTCAAACACAACCCTGTGGTGCACCGGCACTGATGAAAACTGATCACTGAGAGCATTGATTACACTGCTCTACAGCCAAAATGCTTCTGAAATAAATGTAGTCAGACTTTACTAATTCTGGGTCACTGAGAATGAAACTGATGCTTAAAATTGTTGATTGGCTCTAGTTTTCAAGATATGTTATTGGGTCAGTGTATATATGACCCTTGACTTGGGAATGGCAGAGGATAAGTGAGTTATAAAGGGAAGGGATCTCAATTTAAACCAGAAATGACTAAAATACATCTTTGATTGGATCTATGAATAAATCTATGACTGGGTTTGGACAGTACTTGCTTTTTAGGCAAAACAATGAATGATGCAATCTGAAGCTGGTATTGCGTCATACATGATATGAATTGCATCATGTTATTCCTAGAAGTCATGGATGATGCAATCCTAACGAAGCTTACATCACTCTGCTGAACAAATTGCCCTATATCAGCTCTAGAAATCATACAGTGTCGTGCTCTCTTATTTGTCAGTGTTTGATTTTGCAAAGGGACACATTTCTGTTTAGCCAAAGTGAGCAGAGATGCCTCATACTTGTGTGAACAGTGCAGATAACTTCTGCTATGTTTGTGGTGAAGTGACTTTTGCGTCACAAAAGCGCAGTATAACCACTATGGTGAAGAAAGCCTATCACCTTTATTTTGGCTGCAAAATTGGAGATCAGGACAAGAGGTGGGCCCCACACATATGCTGCAACACTTGTGCAACAAATCTTCGCCAGTGGTTGAACAGGAAAAGGAAATCTATGCCTTTTGCAGTGCCAATGATTTGGAGAGAGCCAACAGATCATACCAGCAATTGTTACTTCTGCATGGTGCCTCCAGTTGGGAAAGGTGTGTCAAAGAAGAAAAAGCGGACTGTGCATTATCCAGACATTCCATCAGCTATATGCCCAGTACCCCACGGAGAAGGACTGCCGGTTCCTGATGCACCAGAATCATTGTCACTTGAGTCAGACGAGGAAGAGGATGAAACTTCTGGTCCTGAACCATCAATGTCACAGGACCCACATTTTCTCCCATCCTCCTCCTCTGAACCACACCTCATAACACAAGATGAACTGAATGACCTTGTCAGGGATTTGGAACTACCCAAGAGTAAGGCAGAGCTGTTGGGCTCCCGACTACAGCAGTGGAATCTCCTGGCAGGTGATGTTAGGGTTTCCATGTTCCGTGACCGTCAAAAGGATCTTGTCCCATTCTTCTTCATGGAAGGTGATCTTGTAGCCTGCAACAACATCGATGGTGTGATGGCAGCCCTCAACATCGTTCACGATCCAGATGAGTGGAGACTGTTCATTGATTCATCGAAGATGAGTCTTAAAGCTGTTTTACTGCATAATGGCAATGTTTTGCCATCAATTCCAGTTGGTCATGCAGTCCATATGAAGGAAACCTATGACAACATGAAACAACTTTTGAGGTGCATAAACTATGACCAACATCAGTGGCAGCTTTGTGGCGATTTGAAGGTTGTTGCTCTCTTGCTTGGTCTGCAGACTGGATACCCAAAGTACTGCTGTTTTCTCTGCGAATGGGATAGTCGTGCAAGAGATTCCCACTACATCAAGAAAGATTGGCCACTCGGACAGTCATTGGAGCCTGGGAGGAAAAGTGTTCAGCATCCACCACTTGTTGAATCAAGGAAGATTTTGTTACCACCCTTACACATCAAGCTGGGTCTGATGAAGAACTTTGTCAAGGCCATTGACAAAACACAAGCAGCTTTCAAGTACCTCCGTGGAAAATTTCCAAGGTTAAGTGAAGCTAAGCTAAAGGAAGGTGTCTTTGTTGGTCCTCAGATTCGTGAACTTCTTCGAGATGATGCATTTGACCATGCACTGCATGGCAAGGAAAAGACGGCATGGAAAGCCTTCCAGTTAGTGGCAATAAATTTTCTCGGAAACAACAAGGCAGACAACTACAGGTTGTTGGTGGAAAACCTCAAGGCATACAAAAGCCTTGGTTGCAACATGTCACTAAAGATACATTTTTTGCACTCTCATCTAGATTTTTTTCCACCGAACTGCGGAGCAGTGAGCGACAAGCACGGCGAGTGATTTCACCAGGACATTGCAACAATGGAGAAATGCTGTCAGGGCAAATGGAGCCCATCAATGCTTGCAGACTATTGCTGGACAGTGACAAGAGATGCTCCATTTAACGAATACAAGAGACAAGCCAAGAAGCGCCGAGTAGACCCTGAATAGGACTAAACTATGTACAGAATAGTTTTTTGCCTTTTGTTTCATAATAAATTTGCCTTTGGTACACCATGCCATGGGGACCTTTGCAATCCTCATTCAACCCATCCTTCTGAGGATCCAACTGAGGAGGAGTGCGCACTGAATCTGGCAGTTCCACCAGAACCAACAAGATTGCTGTCACCCTGTCCAGATGAGGCAGTGACTCCAGTGTGTCTGTTCCTGGAATTGCTTATAGTTATCGGGGGGGGGAACCCCCCAGAATTACAGGGCAGCTGCAGATTTCTTTTGAGGAGGTTCAGGATCCTCAACACAAGCTTCTGGACGTTCTTCAGTCCTCTGGCTCCATCAAAAAGTGTTCCCTGTTAAGAAAACCATCCTGAAGCCAGGTAGAGCATACCCCAGCTACCTGCACCCCAACCTCCAGAGGACAGAAACAGAGAAATCCCACCCCTCAGTCAGAGAGGTGGGATTTCTGTTCTCTCACCCTGCTCCCAAGTCTTTAGTGGTCCAGGCCACCACAAAGAGATTTAGGCAATAGTATGCCCCGATTTATCCCAACTGATAAGGAGGGCAAGTGTCTCAACTTACTGGAAGGAAGGTCTTTTCTTCTTCTAGACTCCAGTTCAGGATAGCAAAGTACTAGTGGCTAAGTACAACTTTGTGAACTGTTCAAAATTCACAGAATTTCACAGACTCCCACAGGAGGACAGAGCTTGTTTCCAGGCTCTCGTGGCAGAACACAAAATGGTTGCCAGGACTACTCTCCACTCAGCAGTAGATGTCACTGATGTATCTTCCAGGGCGATGACTACTACTATGGTAATGCACAGGGAGTCGTGGCTCCGTGCTTTAGGGTTTCCCAGGGAGGGCCAGAACACCATAGAGGACCAAGCTTTCAAGGAGACTATCTATATAATCAGAGAATGGATGAGTCCTTACACACTTCAAAGAACTCCAGGGCCACCCTCCACTCCCTGAGAATATATATGCACCTGCCCCAAATAGAAAATTTCACTGGTAGTCCTAGAAACCTAGACTGATGATTCAACAGTTCTTCCACCAAAGACCTTATGAGCCACTCTATAAGAGGCAGAGGGTTCAAAAGGCCTGCTTCCCCACACCTTCCTCCGCAGGTTTCTCATCCCAGTCTCAGCCCTCAGCTAAACATTGTTTTTGACAGGAACTTGAGAGCTGCAAACCACTAAGGGTATGTCTACATAGCACCTGGATTCTCGCGGCTGGCCCATGTCAGCCGGCCTGGGCTGCAGGGTTGTTTCATTGCAGTGTAGACTTCAAGCCTAGAAGTCTACAGTGCAATGAAACAGCCCTGCAGTCTGAGCTCTGTGAGCCTGAGTCAGCTGGCACAGACCAGATGTGGGTTTTTCATTGCACTGTAGACATATCTTAAGTCTAATGCCTCCAGACTCCCATGCATCCTTTGAGGATCATCTAGCACTGTTTTTCAACACCTGGAGTGCAAAAACAATGGACAAATGGGTGCAGAACGTCATCCATTCTAGCTATTCAACAGAGTTTGCATCCCTACTTGCTTCCCCAGCACCCTTTCAGGGGCCACTCTCATGAGAACATTTTCAAACAAGAAGTGAAATCCCTCTTACAGTGAGGTGTGACAACACAGGTTCCTCTTCAGTACCAAGGGAGAAGTTTTTACTTGACATACTTCCTAGTACCTAAAAAGAAGGGCTGTTGGAGATCCATTATCGACCTCTGCCATCTGAACTTTTTTATTCGCGAACTCAAGTTTCATATGGCCATGTTGGTATCTATAATTCCATTCCTGAAAAAGGGTATGTGGTTTACAGCTCTCAACATGGACACCTGCTTTCACCTGGGCATCCACCCCGCTCACAGACGCTTTCTCAGATTCCTGGGCTCTGACCATTTTCAATACAGAATATTCACTTTTGACATTGCTCCTACTATCTCCAGTGCCTTTACCAAGGTGTGCTCCATAGTAGCGGTTTATATCAGATGTTGTGGTTTCACAGTCTTCCCCTGTCAACAATTGGCTCCTTGTCACCAGGTTACACTAAGAGGACCATGTGTCGACTTTGACAATGCTGCAACTTCTCTTCTCTTTGGGTATCAGTATAAATGCCGAAAAATCCATCCTCGGCCCTATGCAGACTTTAGACTTCATTGGGGGCATTGTTAAATTCAATCATGGCAAGGGCTTCCCTGTGAAGGGACAGGTTTCAAGCTATGAACAATATCGTAGACCAGGTCATAAGCAACCCCCAAGTGCCTGTCAAGACCTCTGTCTCTCTCCTAGGCCATGTGGCCTCATGTACTTATGTCATGTCATTTGCAAGGCTCCACCTTTGTTGCCTATAAGCATGGCTTCAAACAGTGTACTCTCCATATTTACAGTCCTTGAGCATCATAGTGACTGTTCCCACCAAAGTGATATTGCCCCTATTATTGTGGAAGAATCCCTCCCAGGTATGCATGAGCATTCCCTTCCTTGCCTCTGCACTGGACAGGACGATTGTTACCGACACATCCCTATTGGGTTGAGGAGCCCATGTGGACAACCATACAGTACAAGGCACCTGGATATAACAAGAATTCAGGATGCACGTTAATTTTCTAGAGCTGTAAGCAGTTTGAAGGGCTTGCAAAGTCTTTCTCCTGTTCATTCAAAGTCACTATGCCCTCGTAATGTTGGACAGCATCACAACTGTCTTTTGCATCAATAGACAGGCAGGAGCGAGATCCTTCCCCTTGTGTGCAGAAGCAGTCAGCTTGTGGAACTGATGGTGTCAGCCATCGGATTACCCAGTCTACCTCCCACAAAACCAGAATGTACTAACAGATTCAGCAGACTCTTGGCTGTCAGTGTGGAGCAGGGTGTCGTGGGGTGTATGTACCCCACCTTGGCCCGGCAACAAAAGGGGTAATACAGGCATTGCTGGCCACTGCTGATTGGTATCCTCACAGCAGCTGGGAGGATAAAAAGGCTGGAAAGCAGAGGGGCGTGGCAGCTACCAGGAGAGTGAACAGGCCGTAGAAAGGAACTTCTGTCAGTAAAGTGCTAAAGAGCTGCCCAGGGACAACACCCCAAAAAGGGATGAATGGACCAACAGACTGAAGAGCCTGCAGAGTCCCAGGGGAAGGTAGGAAGCAGCTCAGGGCACTGTCAAAATTGGCGAACCCTGATCCTGCTTGTCTATCTTGAGGGCCATGAGCTGGAACCCAGTTGAGTGAGTGGGCCAGGATTTCCCTACCAATCACTTGACGGACCTGAAATCCGAGAGGATTTTCCAGTTTCTGGAGTACCAGGAATAGACTGACAGCCGCGCTGAGCTGAGTGAGCCAGTGACCACACCCTGCTTGGCCAGGAGGGGCACCATTGCATTGACATACCGCCTCACCGAGGGTCTCCCTTGGCCCCCCAAGATGGGCTGTAGCTGGGCTTGGGACCCTGGGGGAGACCCCATACCCTATAGACTGGGCCCACTCCCTGTGCTATGCTGGACTTGGACATGGTGAGAGGCCACCACTTCGGGGCAGGGGAAAACATCCTGGTGGGGGCTAGTGCCCTTACAATGCAAATACTGTGGGGGACTGATCTGTATTTCTCCCCCTACATGTCATTCCTTGTAAACTGCATATGTTTGGGGGCTGGAGGCGTAAGTGGGGGCTGGAGAGGCTACTACAGCACAAGGGAGCCCAGAGGATCACTTGACCTGGGCACCCTCTTTAGTAAAATTCTTGTTGTACCCCATATCACATAGAAGCAAGTATTTCAAAGATCCTTTTTACTGAAGTTTAACAATGTCTATAGCTCTAAATAATTGCATAACTGTTATCTTTGTTCTGTTATGGGAATCTTGTTAATGAGATACAAAGATCAAACAAAAAGTTTGTTTTGATCTAGGGTGAAACACGTTGGAGAAAAGACATTTCATACCACTTTTCTGTTTTTGCCTACTTTAGCAGTTCCAGTAGCAACTCCAGCATCAGGAAAGAGGAGGCTAATGCTTCGTCAGATTCCTTCATCCCTTCTTTTCCTCGGGCTCCAAGTACTTCAGATTCTGTACGAGTGAAATGTAGAGAAATGCTGGCTGCTGCTCTCAAAACAGGAGGTGAGCTTTGTAGAACTTATTTACAGTATTGGATTTTGTTCTGTTTCTTCTTCCCGTGTATCCTAGCACTGATTGTCAGACCAGTCTGAATTCTGTACAACCAGGCCGGCTAGTCAGGTATAGGTTCATCCAGATTAGCATAACCCTGGCAACCTGGAAACATGCTGAGGTGCATTTCCTGCTCCAGCCCATCTGACTACTACTTTCCAACAGCAGAGAATCCTCTTCATGATACTTGCTAGCCATTACCTCCTTGTATCATCAATTTAATCTGTTTCCATGAAAGGTATTGTTTCAGTGGGTTTTTTGGGGGGCGGGTGTACCACAGTGTTCCCCAGGGTCTTGTGACCTTTCAAATTCTGATAGCCAGAAGCTCCGTTTCCATTTCAGTTGCAACTTAATTTTGTTACAGTACATCTGGCACTGGTGTTTTGATAATTTTAAATATGTCAAATTCTTTAAGTATCCAATCCATGACTGCTGTATTCTCTTCTCGTCCAGTTTTAGGGGTATTAGCGTCTGTCTTTTGAGAGTTATAAAATTTGGAGGTGGACAAGACCTATGAATTGATCTATTCCATCTTGGTTTTAGTGCCAGGAGTTTTCTTACACCTTGGTGTTTTATACTGAAAAATAAGATTTTCACTAGTTCCTTTGGGAGATTATTCTGTAATCCAGTAGATCTCTCTGTCAAGGCTTTTGTTTTCCTGCGGTTCCTACATTTACCCTTAACTTCACCCTATTGCTCCTTTTTATTTATTATTTTGAAAATACAGAAATAACCTATACATTTTGTGCACATTAATCTGTACATCTCCATGAGATCCTCACAAAAAAGCTTCTCCTATTACTGCTCATATTTACACCCTTCAAATAACTGTACAGTTTCATGCTCCCATCCTTCTAAAGCTATCCTTTAGCCAAATTATATATATTTAACTCTCAGTTTTAAACTAAATTCAAAACTTATTCCAGAAATGTACATAGTCCCTTATCAGTGGGAACCAAATCTGTTCATCATTAACCTTCTTTTTGGTTCAAACTGGCTTGTGTAGTGAAAAGGACAATAAACTTTTTTTTTTTTTTTTTTTTTTTAGGGATTTTTGAGCATGACAGTTTTTGTATGACGTTTGTTACTAAGGCACTACAAAGTGTAAGTGAGTGAAAATAGCAAATGGGATAATATTGAGAATATGTACAAAAAGATCAGTGTGCTCAAAGCAACATACGTATAGGTAGCCTGGATCCTTCCTGCTACTTTCTCTCTCCCTTCAGAAAATGGAGCCTGGGTCCCCTTTTCTTTGAGCCCTAGAGCAATGTTATATGTAGGCCGAAGTCCTGCCCTCAGGTTAACACTATCTCTCCCATAGTAGGGCTCACTTTTCTAAATACCAAGTCATCCACTTTTTATACAGACTTACTTGCAGAAAGAAGCCAGAAGCAGTTAGACAAGGAGTAATGTTTTTCAGAAGTGTCTAAGTCCAGCTGGCAGTTAATGAAAGTTAAGATGCCTAACTGATTTAAATGCTTAGGTAAATGTAATTTAGTCTCCTAAATCACTTAGGTAACTTTGCAAATTTTATGCAATGTCAATTTAAATCTCACTTGTCTTTGGAAACTTACCTAAAATTATTGCTACACTAATAGACTAGTGAGTTATTTCTTCTCTTCAGTTTTCTTATGTTGAGCATTCAAAAAGGGAGAACTTTTTTTTTTTTTTTTTAAAGTAGGAATATGTGATTGTAAAACACAAAAATTGACATGGGCATTTGATAGATGTGGTACCTGAAACTATTTTTTTTAACTTATTTTATGAAATTGACTTAATTTCTAGTTGATGGTGTTCTTTGATCTTTTTAAAATGCAAATGAAAGTGAGGGGAAGGAAGGTGGAAAATGTTGATAGTGTGCTTGCACTGTCTAGCCTGTCCTCTGTCAAATTGGGAAGTAAATGTTTCTTTTACTTTTTCTCTCAAATCTCTACTCAGAGATTTCTAAGATTGGGCATTTCAGGCTAAACTTTTCATGCTGCCTTTAGAGTTTAAGTATTTTACCTATTTTATTTACCACTTTAAATTTCCTGTTTTATTGCACTTCAGTTTGTCTGCTTTCCTTATATTTTTAATGTCCATTAAGCAAATTTCTACAACTTAATTACTGATTCTGCTGTCGTTAACACTAATTGACTGTACCCATGCTATCTTGAGAGTCAATTTTATCACAGACGTTGAAGTGATAGTTCAGTCTTTTCTTTCAGAGCAGAGATTGGCAGTTGTCAAACTGAGTAGAATCTTCAAGACTTAACTGATAACACAAAAGCTCTTTGTACAGTACCTACATCTACAGTTTAGCTCCTGATTAAATAAGATTTTAGGCCATTGCTTTTCTATCAATCTGGTCTTCTACCATTTGTGTACTGTGCAAAATGATGAGCTAACAGGGTTTTGCTACCATAAAAGTATATAGTGCACTATTTTCTGAAAATGCATACTATGGTTGTGGCATAACTTATGCTTTCCAGGATTCCCAATGGGTACTTGAGCTGCTAAGGAAATCTGATGTCCACTTAATGTTAATAATCAAACTTTTCTTTTGTTCAGATGACTACATTGCTATTGGTGCTGATGAGGAAGAGCTGGGATCTCAGATTGAAGAAGATATCCTTTGTGGTATATCTAAGTGGTCTAGAATTAGTATTTGCTGATGGATTTTTATTGTTGTTTAAATTTAAAAAAAAATGGTTTGGTCCATATAATGAACATTGATTTTTATTCAGTAGGAAAATACTCATTTTGTTCAATACAGCAGTGTGAAAGTTTTTAGTGTGAGAAGCGATTCGCACAATTTATGAACATTAAATTACACACAGAACTCTTTTTAATACAAGCACTGGCAGCCGTTGCTAAGAAAGGTATTGATCAACAGCGTAAAGAGTAGGTTTAGCAGAATTTTATTTCTATTTTTTGTAATTTCGGTAGATAGTATAGATGTTTGCTTGTAAGTATTTTTATCTATTTAAATTTTCACAGTTGTGGGAAATTGGGGAAGGTAAGACAATTATTTAATGACCATAGACATTGAGATTCAAACTTTAGTTTTATAACGATTAAAACACAAATTGTCAGCATCACATGTTAAAATACACAAAGTAAATATCTTTAAATAAAACTAATACATTCTCAAGCGGTATTTTTTATCACTGTGCTGATCTGTACATTTCTGTTATTATTGATGGAAATATTTTTCGTCTGTCTGTGTGTATATGGTAAAATCGATGTTTACTGACATTTACTGATAAAAATCTAATCCTGCCAAGCCTGTGTAAACCTGGGCAAACATTTGCAAAGCAATGAAGTACTATATTGTGTTCTGCATATTACTTGTTGATGATGTGTTCCTTAAGTCCTAAGCACCTATATATCAAGAATTGAAAAACACTGACATGAAATACAAAAATAGGGTACGAAGTAGAATAGCAAATCTCAAGGACACAAAGAACCCTAATCTAAGAAAAAATGTATTATGTGGGAACATACCTCCAGACAGGTTTGCCAAAATGACAGCAGAGGTAAGTAAATATTAGGTCTTGTAACTTTTATTACTCTGTTTGACTTAACTATACAAACCATCAACATTCTTATACTTTGTATCTTCACATTCTCCTAAGCATAGGCACTTAAGACAAACCACAATTATCAGCAGTATGGAGGCTTGCAGATTCAGAGATAGTGGGGTAATTCTAAAAGTTGTGATGCCTGAATAAGGCAAGAGGCAGGTAGAATGTCCCTGAGGGTGCTTCAGGGAGAAAGCTTAGAAATAGAATGTACTGCATTTAAAAAAAAAATGCAGCCTGTACCAGCAACAACCTTCAAATTAGGGGAGGTGGACTGGGGTTCTGCCAGTAACCCCAGGCTAACAAGTTGTGGCCCTTTTGGGTGTACTGTATCATCAGTATTAAACAGCACTGCCTTTGTATTTGGCAAGTGCTAGCTTTAGCATTTTGACTACTTCTAAGCTAGGTATATCATCCCGATTTTTACAGGTCAGTCTCCTTTCTTTGTGGCAGTGAGACCCTTTGGAGGTATTTTTAGTACTATTTAAAATTTCTGTTAATTTTAAAATTTATGGTTAGTTTATCATACTGCAAACACTTTGTAGTACCCAAGTATATTTATTTTTTTAACAAAAAGACAAAATAAGGGGGAAAGATAAGCTAGGTAAATGGACTAATTAAGATAATAAAATGAGATCCTGCTATTAAAGAAAAGCAAACTAAATTTAAACTATAACAATGGATATTTAAAACGAGGATTAAGCACTGATGACTGTTTTTAAATGTTTTTAAAAATGCCTTTGAAAGAAACTTGACTAGGTATGCTCTGTGTTTTACTACAAAGAAGGAGGAACGCAGGATGTACAGATCACTAAAATGTCACTGGCACAATATTTAGGGAAAAGTTTTAAAACTGACTAAATTCATACTTGTATTTGACAAAACACTAAAAATCTTATTAGAAAAAGGAATTGGGATGGCTTACCATCCGAAGACAGAAAGTTAAAACTTGGTAAAAGTGGAATTTACTGCAGAATTGTTAATAGGAAGGACAGAACCTCTCTAGCTAACTTCCCAAGTTTTCTTTTGATACTGAAAGGCTTAAAAAGGGAAACGTGCATTGGAAATTTGACTGAAAACAGACAGAAAACAAAGTGTACCCCTGTCCAGTCTAATAACTGCTAAGTGCAGTAGCTTAAACAATCCTACTTAACAACCCTATTTTGTGTCTTTTTTAATAAGGTTCAGGGAAATGACCATAGAAGTTGATGCAACAATTTATGCTGACTTAAAATGTTTGAGTTACAAAGCACAGGGTTTTATGAAAAATGTTGGTGATCCAAAGTAGATTTAGGAAGTGAATATGAAAATAATTGGAGAGGAGAATATGAGACTTGTGCCTGAGGAAGATTAAACGAAATTTCCTAGGGTCAGTGCCTTTGTGTAGTTTCTACAGAGGCAGCAACAATGAACTTGATTACATAAAATTAGAGGTTACGATAAAAACAAAAACAGAATTAATAAGAGCTTAGACCTGCTTTGTAATTGTGTCGGCATTTTAAAATTCTTGTTGTGCTCAAACAGGCAAAGAAAAAAAAAAGATTGGAACTAGATCAGAAGCTAAGCTATTTATACAGGTCATAAGTAATGGTGAGCTTTGTTCTTCAAGAGAAAAATGGTCTGGGCATATAGACAAGTATACTTGGGGTGGCAGACCAGTACATGTGTATAAAGAGAATCAGATGGCATTTTGATTCTATGGGGTTCTATTTTGTTCTGATAATTGTATTTATATAAAAGTAACGCTTCAGGGTCAATCATTATTTGGATTTTAAATTCATTTCAGACTAAAAAGATTTTGAGTGGCTAAATATCTGTAAAGAGAGCTGATGTAGAGGAGATAGGTATTTAATCTGGAGCAGTGTTAATTGAACTGCTAAATCCCATGCAGATACTGAGACAGTGGAAAAATTAGGAATGCTCATTCCTGCATACAAAACATTAAGAAAGTATGGAGCACCCAACTGATCAAGTAAACTGAAGTGAAAACAATTAACTGGTATCCAGAGTAGAATATTTTTAAAGAAACAGCATAAATTACGTGCTTAAAATTTTTAACATCTCATCTTTTAAAGCTTGAGCTAACAAGTGTGAAGTTTTGGACTTATTTTACGAAATGCTTTATATAAAGGGCAGTTTGTATAAAACAGGAACATACATAATTAAAACTGATTTTGAAGCCCTATTGTGCAATATCTGGCGAGAGCTTCCTTAGAGAGAGCTGCCTCGCTTAGGCCCTGTTACAGTTTAAAAACCCTGTCTGGTGTCTAGAACCCTGAAAAAGCTTTAAAAAAATTAACAGAAGTTAGAAATGAAAGCCAATGAACAAGCATCAGATAATTTTTGATCATTACAATACTAAGCTAAATTTGAATAATGAACTGGAGGCAGAAGGTTTCAGTTCTCATTATCAAACAATGCTATGTTATAAGAGTAAATTAGAATTATGCAGATATTCATTTCTTGTTAAGAGAGGACAGCTGTGCAAAACTGTTTGCACTGTGAGTGTTTTCATGGTGGAAATAAACTTTTGGTTATGCAAAAACAAAAATAGTGAGTTTAAATTTTTCACAACCAGAAAATTGCACAAGGTTACATTCCTGGGGACCTTTCTCTACTGCCTTTTCTTCTTTACCCCGACACTAACTAGTGTCTTCACTTAGCCTTTCTGATAGTCACTGGTCAGACATGTTTTGCATGCAAACATTTTTGCAAGTTTGGTAGTTATGTAACTTCTGACTTTTCACCAGCAGTATAAAGGAATGAAGAAATGTTTTAACTTTAGGTAGCATCTTTGGCAAACTTAGTGGAATTTGTGCTAACTAAAATTGAAGCTTATTCAGTGTGAGTTTAGCAAAGATAAAAGATCCAAGATTCATAGAATGATTTTGCTGCTTGATAGGATAGGTATTCCTGGATTTAAAAACAAAACCCTATCTTCAATACGATTATATACGTTTTCAAATGAAATTTGCTAGGTTGATATATACAGTGATCATACTAGCAATAGTGTATCAAAACTATAAGAAGAGACATCCCAACGGCAAATTGAGAATGTTATGGTAGACAGTCTCTTTGTCCATAACAGGAGATGGCAAGTGATGAGCTGAAAGAGATGCGTAAAAATCTGACCAAAGAAGCTATCAGAGAGCATCAGATGGCTAAGACAGGAGGCACCCAGACTGACCTGTTTACATGTGGCAAATGTAAAAAGAAGAATTGCACTTACACACAGGTACATAATCATTCTTGTTGTTCCCTTTTGTCTTGTCAAGACTGAATCTCAATTTTAAGGAAATTTTCTCTTTTTTTAAAGAATTTTTGTTTCAGCATTTTGTAACTTGATAGTTGAAGAAAATTGTCATTTATAATATAGCAGTATTTGAGTTGCTTTTAAATATTGGTTCATTAGCCTAAAGCAAATTAATATTCTGCTCTTAGAGAAATAGCGGTTAAACATTGGCGCAAAAAAAAGCCTCTTTTTACAACCAATTATGAACAGTGAATTTGTATTTCCAAATATTCTTATTTCTGTTGGTATTTCATAGATTTGTATATGCTTCTATGGAGAAAATACTCATCTTATTACTTTGATACTCTTTCCTCTATCCTTCAACTTGATGTAACTAGAAGTACTCTTCCTAGAAATCCGCAGTTAAGCCCAACATTAATTAAACTCTTTCCAAGGATGTATTAGAAATTCCTTAACATTGACAAGTATTTTTTTCCCCATTTCAGCAATTCTTTGCTAGACTTCCTTTTCTAGCTATTTTTAAAATTGTAATGTGTGGGAGATTAACTGATATAACTAGTGTTTCAGTGTGTTTGAAATATCTGTGTATTTGGGTGACGATGGCAAATGTAATATGTTGAAAACCTCTGAATATTAACATGAACGTTAACATTAATTACGATTTTATTAAAATAGGGTCTGATTTACAAGCCTTCTGTTCATGCAACTCCCACTAATCTAATTAGGAGTTGTGTGCAAAAAGCTTGCAAATCCAGTCCATATTGATTTCAGTAATGCTGCAGTGCATACCTTTGAGCTTAATAAGCTAAGTTTATGCTTTTAGTATCTAAAATGTTTTGATGTAAACACTTGCAGTCAAAATCTGTCTGAATCTTTATGCTTTTAGGCCACCTCATCATAAGTATATTTATGTAAATCTGTGCAGAATGTGCAATTGATACTTCCATAAAAACAAAACTCAAAAATATTTGCAGAGTTCTACATTGATCTTCATTATTGAAATGGATACTTTTAGTACTTAAATCAGCCAGACAAAGGGGTTTCCCTATGGATGTGTTGGCACAGACGTTTTATTACCTTTTTTCTGTAACTGCAAAATGAAATAGTCATGATTATTTTGTAAAAAATCTGGTAATTCCAATTTGTTAGCTGTTTCCCTAGTTTGTACTCTTGCGTGTTCACAATTGACTTGGTGCTCAGATTTTAACTCATCTAGGTTCATTTCACATGTGAGGGTGTAACCATTTTGTGGGCTGGAGTAGGTTGTGGGGGCTGAGAACCTGCATTCTTAAGCTTTATAAAGACGCTTAAAATGGAATGTTGAAGCATTCTTATACAATGGATTTCAAATATGGTAACTTCTTAAATCACATATTTGGATAGATCTTGTGGTAATTTTATTTAGGATATACGGATTTTATTTTAGCATTGAGTAACTTTACATTGAACAGAAGTGAAATAATTGAACAGGGTCATGGTGATAACACTTTTCTTTCCTTTCCTCCCCATTCCCTTTACGGTAGGTTCAAACCCGCAGTGCTGATGAACCTATGACAACATTTGTTGTCTGTAACGAATGTGGAAACAGATGGAAGGTAAAGCTTTTGTTCTCTTCTGTATATTGTGTAGCAGATGGTCAAATTTCAAGTTTACTTTTTTTGATTACAGAAAACCTATTTGAGTTGTTAATCTTTTATTTTTCTTCTCAAACCAGTTTGATAAATTGTAAATATTGCCAAATACTTTTAAGTGAGAAATATATTTGGAGGAGAAACTTTTATAGTTTGCAATTTTCAAGCCATCCCGTTACCTATGTCCATTAAATCAGTTTTCATATTTCCCTGTAGTCTTGTTTTGTCTTTCAGGTTTTGTTAAGGCTTACTGTAGTGTAAAATGAAGTGTACAGGATTTGTAAGCACTTAGAACAGCTAGAATTTTAATCCAGAAGGATGTGGAGGAAAGCAAGATGAAACTATTTGATCTAGACAGTCATTTGTGTAACTCAGGATAGATTCTCAAATAGGATTCAGTAATATCACTTCTAAAACAGAAGTTCAGATAGAGTGCAAAATGTTGCTGTACTGTGCAATGAATACTGTTGTTCATTTATTTTAATTTTTTTATATTTATATTTAATATAAAAAAATCACAGTGGACCAAGCTCTGCAATTTACTATAATGTCCTGGATCAGTGCCAAAAAAGCAGGGCCGGCTCCAGGGTTTTGGCTGCCCCAAGCAGCCAAACAAAACAAAAAAAGACAAAAACAAACAAAAAAGCCGCGATCGCGATCTGCGGCGGCAATTCCTTGGGAGGTCCTTCCTTCCGAGCAGGAGTGAGGGACAGCCTGCCAAATTGCCGCCCAACAGCTGGACCTGCCGCCCCTCTCTGAAGTGGCCGCCCCAAGCACCTGCTTGGTAAGCTGATGCCTGGAGCCGGCCCTGCAAAAAAGCACTGCTGGTCTTAGGAGCCGGTGACTGTTCGGGTCAAACACGTTATGAACAAATAGGATTAGAAATAAATACACTGGAAAGCAAAGGTCCCAAGCTTTCCAACAGTGTGTAGCATTCATTTTTCAAGCATGTGTCAGTGTGGATCCCGCTGTAGGTGTGCATGAACCTCTGCATATTAGACTGGATTTTTTTGAATATCCATGTCCCTCAGGGTTGCACATACACTCTGTGGCTCCTCATGTTCCTGTATGAGGGCATAAAAGGTGAGGTGGCTGCGTCCCTCCTTCAATTGCTTATTGCCACCTGAGGCAACAAGATGGAACCTAGCTGGTGTTCATCCTGCTAGACTTCTTAAAACACTCCTTCAGATCTTCTGAGATTCTTCAGAACCATCTTCATTCTTCATTTTCTTATGCTAGTCTGTTTTTAGTGCTTGTCAAATAGAAAGCTGCTTGCAGCCCCTTTCCCCCCACCTGCACGTGTGAACGCACACTCCCTGACCCCCACTGAACAGTAACTTGGTATAGTGGACTCAAACCCTACAATCTTCAAGCCTGGTCCATTCTGTGACGGTCTAATTCCTCTGAAAGTTTGACCAAGCAGATGTGTGTTCTACTTGGGAGAGTTTTTCTGTCTACGCAGGTGCTCAGTCTGCCTCTCCTCTGAAAGAACTCACAAATCAAGGGGTGCAAGGCTGAAGCTTCATATTCCAGACCAATCTGTGAAAGTGCCATTAGACACAGAAGAGCTGAATTTGAAGATCCCTTTAATGGTCAAGCCTACATCCAACTGACAGGCAGGTGATGCTGAAGCCCTCAGCAGAGAAAGTGGTGCCAAAGCCAGGCCTGGCATCAACATCAGCACTAGTACCATGTCTAGCACTGAAGCCTATCAGCAGGCCCAACATCAAAGTTGACACCTCAGAGGTTGAAATGGTGCTGAAAGAGGCCACTCTGAATGGTGGGGAATGAGCTCTGTGCTCTCTCATAAAGAGAGATACAAGAAGATGTCAGAAGGCAAGTCACACCTTGCATCAAAGATGCGCAGAAAGGAGCTGACTGTGGTGCAGTATGGCTCTGGTACTGGACATACCCCCCCATGATATTCATTCTAGCATCGATAATAAAGACTTAGAGTACACCCGAGCCTTGAGAGAGACATTTGCACTGACATAGTCCTCAGAGCAGATAACTCTGAATCAGTGCTGCCTGTGGAAGTGTACTCACCATCCCCAGGCCTTGCCTTTTCTCTAACATCCAGCAGAGATGATTTGTTGCTGAGGTCTATGAGCAGTATCATCATTTAGAAACCAGAGGCTCTCTACAGACTCCAATCATAGGCATGCTGGGATTGGCACTAGCACAACCAGCAACCAGCCAGCCCTCTGTGCACATACAGAATATTACTGTGGCCCTATTGGGGCTTTTGGGGCCCACCTTCTCAGGCCTGTAAGAGTCAGTTACTGTCTTTGCGGAAGAAGGAGGAGGTGCCTTTCTCCTGCAGCTTCACTAGCAAGACCCCGGTCACTGGAATGCAGAGACATGACAGCGGGCGGCCAGATGACCCCTTTTGCTATCTAACAGCGCCTTATCGTTGTCCCGGGAAAGACAGTAGCTTTGGTGCTGATACAGGCACTGGACAACTTCAAGAGCTGGGTGCAGGTCATGGACACTTTGGAGATTGAGATGCTTGATCATCCCCACTCTGCCTAGAGGTGGTTGAGTCCTGGGAATGGTGCCATCACCACCAAGTGACTCCTACTACCAAGAAAATGCCTACTAGAGGTCAGGAACAACCTGGTAGACTTCTAAGCAAGAAGATGGTAACCAGTCACAAGTGGTCAATGGAAATCCATCCTAGACCCAATATTTCACCAGTGTGTTATTCTCATCTGTTTGCCATGGCAGACAGTGTCAAATGAGGACGTCTGGTCTAAGGGAGGTACAGGCTCCAGTTCCCTTCTGGACACCTTTCTGCTTGGTGGTTCTCAAGTACTTTTGCTTGTCTTTGCATCAATCCCCAGGATCATATCCAAGATTAGACAAGACAAAACTACATTCACTGTGATTTCCCCTACTGGCCAAGGCAATTTTGGCCATCTGATCTGCAGATGTCCAGTCAGCCACCCCCCCTCCCCATTTTCCTTCCCCCCGCGCACACATGCACATCTTCCCATGGGTTTGGACATGCTATCACAGAACCAGGGTCAAACGTAGACCCACAGTCACTGTATCAGATGGTCTGGATGTAGGCTGTTTGAACAAGGACTGACAGACTGCTTCCTGCAGGCCCAGGAGATCCTTTTACAGGGTCAGAAACTCTCCAATAGGAAGACTTACTCCTTGATATGGAAAAGATTTTTCTTATGGGCAGTTGAGGCCTTAAGACCAAGGATTGTAGTCTTAGTGCTCCTCCTGAAGAAAGCATGACTAGCTAGTAGCTCCTTCAAAGTCCATCTCATAACAATATCAGTATGCCGCACTCAGATATCGGCACGCTTGGTCTTTTCACATCCTTTGGAATTGAGATCTCTCAAGAACCTTCTCCATACTTGCCCTCCAGTTAGAGACCCTGCTCCCATGTGGAAGCTTAATGAGGTTCTCTTATAGCTGGGGCTCTATCAAATTCACAGCTATGAAAAACACATCATGGACCATGAAATCTGGTATTTTGTGTGCTTTTACCCTATACTATACAGATTTCATAGGGGAGACCAGCGTTTCTTAAATTGGGGGCCCTGACCGAAAAGGGAGTTTCAGGGTGGTCACAAAGTTATTTTGGGAGGGGGGGGGGGTGGTCAACCGTATTGCCACCCTTACTTCTGTGCTGCCTTCAGAGCTGAGCAGCCGGAGAGCGGCGGCTATTGGCTGGGCGCCCAGTTCTGAAGGCACTGCCCTGCCAGCAGCAGCGCAGACGTAAGGGTGGCAATACTGTACCATTCCACCCTTACTTCTGCGCTGATGCCTTCAGAACTGGGTGGCCAGATAGTGGCAGCTGCTGCCTGAGGACTCAGCTCTGCAGGCAACAGCACAGAAGTAAGGGTGGCAATACCATACTATGCCATATTTACTTCTGCGCTGCTGCTGGCAGCAGCTCTGCCTTCAGAGCTGGGCTCCTGGCCAGTAGCCACCACTGGCCTGCTTCAGAAATATACTGATCTCTGAGATCTGTAACACAGCCTTGTGGAGCAAGCCCGCTGACCTTTTTTGAAACATATGCACTTGACATGGCTGCCAGGGCAGATGCCAAGTTCAGAAGAGCAGTACGCCAATACCTGTTTGACTGGTACAGCCGAGATTCTTCACTTCCAAAATCTGGAGAAAATACTGCTCCCAGTCACCTACAGTGGGATCCACATTGACACGTACTCAAAGAAGAAAGCAAGTTTATTGTCCCTACAGTAACTGTAGTTCTTTGAGAAGTTGTAGCCAGTGTGGATCCCACATCCCACCCTTTATCACCAATTTTTCAGAGTCCTCGGCTACACAAACTTTGAATTGTGAGGGGAATGAAGGAGGGTCACCGCCTCCCTGTTCTGTATGCCCTCCTATGGGAGCCCAAGGAAGCCAAGGGTGCATACGTGACCCTGATGGACACTGCTATTCCAAAAAACTCTAGTCTTACATACATGAGACACGTGCACACTTAGAGTGGGATCCACACTGGCTACAAAATTGCAAAACTGAAGTTGATCTGTAGAAGTTGAGAGTGTGGGGGAGCACAACTCCTCTTCCTCTGCTTAGTATCCTCTAAATGGCTTGTGGGAGCCCCATGCCCATACGCTTTCCCCTCCTCCTTTTCTGGCCATGTGAGGGCTTGCACCAGGTAGTGCAAGAAAAAAGATGCTCCAGAGTTTAGGGCATTATCTTGGGACTCTGGAGACCAAGGTTCAATACTTCCCTCTGCCACAGACTTCCTGTGTGATCTTTGGCAAGTCACTTAGTCTGTCTGTGCCTCAGTTCCCCTTCTGCAAAATGGGGATAACACCACTTCCCTACCTCGCAAGGGGTGTTGTGAAGATAAATTCATTAAAGATTGTGAGACAGTCAGATACTACAGTAATGGGGGCCATAAAAGTACCTTACCTAAGCTGATGGATATGAAATGGGAACAGAGGAGGAGCTGGTGCCCACCAGTGGGGAGTTCTGCGAAGCTCCCAAACTTCCTAGCAGCAGGTGTAGCCACTGAAGGAGGAAGAGGAGAGACGTAGCCAGGAGCTCCCTTTAATTGCACTCCTGTGAAGAGACCTGATCACCTTTCAGATTTTTCTACATTTCAGTGGAGAGGGCAAGAAGACCTGTTGCTGCCAGATCACTGGTGGGTAGTGGGGGAAGGGTTGGTGAGAGAGCTCTGGAATTGACTTACACAAATTCTTGTATTTTGGAAGATTATTTCAAAAATTTCTGGTGAGCTACAATGGCCCAGTATAGTGAAGACAGTACTATAATTAGGAGAAAAAAATATCTTTCTTTACATAATTGGGCCATTGTACAGTGAATTGTGAATATCAGACTTCTGTTTTTCCCCTAATTCTTATATTTTCTTCACCCTATTAGGCTGTTGTAGTACCCCAGAAGCGTATATTGTTTCCATGCTAAAAATGTCAGCAGAAGAAAATTGGGAAAATGCCAGGGAAAGCTTCCTTTGTTTTGTGCACCTTTCTGAAGTTTTATAAAGTTAACATGTATTTTTGCTCTTTTATTTAATGTTAGGTCAGACCCACACTTAAAGGTATTTAATAACCTGTCACGTCTAGAAATTCTTTCATACCAATACAAATGGCTTCAAGACCAAATACACTTTTCTCTGCACTCACTGTGGGCAAGTGAACAGAAAAAAGATTTTCAAACCCTGTAAAGATTCTTGAATGTAAGCAAATGCTGTGACTAGTAATTACCACATCTTAGAGCAGTGCCTTCTCTTCCTTCTTGCAAAGAACTAGAAATAAGCTGTATGCAGATACCTCATAAAATATTTCTTTTCTTTTGACAGTTCTGTTAGAAGAAACAACTGTCAAGACACCTGGACCAGTATGAAAGAGGATTTTGTAATTAGCTTTAAGAACTAGGCCAGGCATGTAGGTTCCTGCAAACAAGAACTTTTTTTTTTTTTTTTTTTTTTTAAAGCGGCATACATCCCTGGAGTTAACCTTTGTTTTTTGACACAACTTTCTTAAATGCTTTCCTATAGTTAATAGTCAGTAGGGCCCGGATGCTCAATTGTACGGTGTATGTTTAAAATATTTTTTCATTTTTATAAGTAAGTTGACATTAAACTTTTATCAATAAACTTTTGGTAACTGAATTGTTTTTCTTAACTATGTGAACAATGTACTGTATATTTTTTTACAGTCTCAAACATACCCACCAGACATATTTTACCTCTCAACTATGTTAAAAATGTCTGACTGAAATTTGTATTTGTTTCTTATTGGCATATTCCCACTAATTTTGTGGGGAGGAAGGACAACTAACTTAATTTTAATTATACCAAATCTGCTGTGGTATCTAAATTGCAACTTGTTGGCTCTGTCTGGTTTGTACATACCATTTATGAATTAATGCTTAAATTCTGATCATGAAGTTTGGAATTTTGTTAATGGATCTATTGACCTCTTCTGTTACAATGCTTGGATAAGTTTGCTTATGTAACCAGCATTGATCAGTCCGATTTATTGTATTGCCCTAAAGCCTGTATATTACTACCACTAGATTTTATTTCTGGAGAAATGACTTAAATAGTTTGTTTAAATTTGATCTAATTGGTTTGTTTTGCTTATGTGTTTGATACCAGAGTTTATTTTAGACTTTGTAAATGAGCAAAGACATTTTGTGGCACGCTGTTTAAATGGCGGTCAGTAAACCAGTTGATAAAAAGATAAACTGGTTGGGGAAGTAATATTACTTTACATCAATTCATATAAATGGCATTAGTTTCCCGTGAACTGCTAATGAACTTTATTTTGATATGTAGAATCATTGATGCCAATGATCAAACCAGAGACCAGAATAAATCATTAAAATTATGGTCTTTCACCATCTAGGATGATAGAAAGATTTGTCTTATTAGAATCTGTTTTTTGACAGGGCACCTTTTAAAACACTTTGCAAATGCTATTTAGCAAAGAGCCAGCATGGTTAGAGGACTTAAGATTCTTGCATTTTTGGCAACCTCTATATTTATATTTATCTAAGCTCTGGGGTGGGCAAGGTCTGTCCAATCAGTTGGTGAGGGATTTGTGGGTAGCTGTAGTATGTAAAACCATTTAGTTTCTGGAGAATAAACTCCTTAACTGGAATGGTCAGACAGAATTTTTCTTTTGCTGATTTGCTCTGTAATGGTAGAGACATGGTTTCAAACGAGGCAGGGTTAAATTCTGAAAACACTTAAGCTGAGAGACCCAAAAAAGAGTTTGCTAAATACTTTAATTTTGCATTACAAATCAAACTATTTCCTATTGAAAGAGAAAAATAGTCTATTCTTTTGGAAGGGAAAATAAATGTGGATAAGAATTTAGCTTGTTATAGACACATCTGCTTTTAAAAAAGGAGGAAATTATTCAAATGTTTCAAAGGTTATTGCATAATTTTATAGAAAGAATTTGGATTCTGCTTGTTTGATATTTCTGCTCTAATTCAGAAAGATATTTTTAAAATTAAACTGTCTTGAAAAGTGAACAGAATAATCTACAATTAAAACTTAGCAGGACTGTTTTAATTATGTATCTGAAAATATCTTGAAAATTTTAAGTTGCCTCAGACAACAGCAAAATGACTTTAATTATAGATGTTTAGTGTCCGTGTGTCTGTCCTTTGTTTTTGGGCACTTCTGAAAGGACAAGTCTAACAAATTTATTAAGCAAATGTAGTCCTTGTGACTTCGGTGCCAGCTGGACTTTGACAGCAGTGGAAATCTCAGTTAGTTACAGAACAGGCACAGCGTGGTGTGTACGAAGTTCCTCACGTTCTGTCTACCCTCAACCTATCTCTACCCTTACATGAAAGGATAGCTTCCCTTGATAAGAAGATACAATAATAATTCACTTTCCATGCCTGCTCATTTTTGTGAGACTTCCCACAGGAAATCCGCAAATCACTAAAGCCTGTATCTCAGTTCAGACTCTTGTGAGAACTGGAATGAGAGATTCTTCATCTAAAGCCACAGCCAGTAGGTAGTAACAGTTTCCGGTACTAGATCCTACAGCTACTTGGGCAAAACTCCCATTGGCCACAATGGGACAAGTTAAGGGCCTTAGTCCCTACTGACTGAGATAGGTTGCTGAATTAAATTGAGTCATCCAGTCCCCATAAAGTTATTGTAGTGTGTTTTAGTATAAAAAGTGTTCTCTTTAACAAGTTTGAGACTGATGCTCACTAATAGTTTAAAACTTGGCTATGTCTTTAGATGAAGAAGTTAAACACAATTTCTCAGGGTGAATTATTAGTTTTTAAATTTCATATTAAGAAGGCTTTAATGGTCATTCTTTGTGTCTCAAAGTGCCCTCTCTTATTAGAAAGGACACCTAGATATACCATGCTACTGGAACAAATTTTAATGTGATTTAAAATGTGTAACCTACTGATATTTGCTATATTGTACTTCATTATATTGTACTAATGAATTTGGAATTTAAAGTTCAGTCTAAAGCACAATGTGGATTGCATCAATTGATGTGTTGGCTGAAGGGGTCCATGCAATTTTAATATTGCTTAGCAGGTTCATGAAAAGAACACTCTTTAACAGTATGAATGTTCTGTGGGAGTTATTGGTATATAAAGTGCAGACATTTAAAAGCTAGTACCAGTGGAATAGAAGGTTAGTGCAGCTTAATGATGTCCTGCTGCTAGATAAATGCCAACGCAAACCAACAATGTTTATTTTCAAGCCAGGATATATTGATCCTGTGATAATGGTTTTGACTTCATTTGTTCTGTATAACTTGTGTAGATATGATCACTTTTTCCTCATATTTCTGTAACAATCTAATTAGTATTTCCTAACTCAATGGGACCTAAACTTGGCCCTTGGAAAAGGTTAGTATATTTCACCTGAGATGAGTTTATGCATAATTACGAATAGTGAAACAAAATGCAGGGAATAAGCTGTCTTTTATGTGTGATTTAGCTAAACTTATTTAATCATATATAAAATTCAGTTAAAATGAAGAAATGCTAAAATGTAATACTTAAGGGATGCTGTCAAGAGGCTTAGGTCCAATATCTTGAAATTGTGTGACAGGAGGGTATGTTTTAACCACACCGGAAACGAATGGAAAGTTTGTTTAACTTTTAATTTCCCAAGAAATTGACCAGTCTAGCTTAATTGTCCAAGTGAAGTGAAATGCAGAAAGTAAAAACGAGCAGTAGAAATGAGCAAATTAGATTTTTAAAATACTTTCACTGTTAATAGTCTGATAAATTTTTAAAAAATTCTGGACAGTATCTCTCTAATTTCAGTAAGTCTCTTCCATTGAGTATAATAGGCTAGAACCCATTGCATTTCATATGATGCACATTTGCTCTGTTTGTCTCCTAGCTCTCAATGAGGCATCTTTAAAAAGATGGGGGAAACATTGAACAAAACTAAATTGTCAGTTTCATGAAATGACACAGCTTTGAACTTTTCTGATGAATATATCTGATCTCTCTAGCAAGCTGAAAGTGACCTAGTTTAACTTCTTTTGTCAGCTTGGTGCTTCTGAAAGGCCTGACACAACCAAATTAATATGTAAGTACAGCATAGTCAGTGATAGTCCAAGTTCTCCCAGTGCTACTTCACCAACATGCCTATTTTGATCTTTGGCTAGCGCTGAGAGTACTAGCCAGAATGCCAGTTAATATGCGGTGTAAACTGAAACTATTAATTTGAATATTGTCTTATGCTGTGGATATGTCAATGAACTGGACTGAGATCTCTAATTTGACATAACCAACCGCCAAATGTATTCTAGTAACAACTGGCAGTCACTACTGACTTGGACCAGATTTTAACCAGTGACCTAGAAGAGCTCTTTTCTTTTTAACTGAGTCATCCAACCCCGCAAGGCAGCTGGCAGCACTGTTTTGCAGTGTTACTTGTTAAATGTTGCTTAAATCATTTTTTTCAAACTGATATGTTAAATGTTGTGTTTTTTTTATAGAAATAGATGATGGAAACTATTTGGCCACAGCTGTTGCTTACAACTTACCTTGTATCAGGTCTTCTCCCTTGATATTGTGTGGTGACAAAGCTCTTTTTTTTTTTAATGGGATTAACACTGAAAGAGCAAAACATATCTCCTGCATGGTGCATTGAACAAGCAAGGAAATTAGCACATGCCTGAATTTTCCCCCAGTGAGAAGGAGTTTAGTGTTTGTATCATAGTGTACAGATGGGAGAACTGCTGATAGGCTGGAGAAAGATTGCAATAGCTTCCTAGAAAAAGCAATGCAAAACTACCTGTATGAATCCCTTTTAAAGCGATGATTTTTCAGTCTCCACCCTTCTCGCCACGTACCTTCTGCTTCACATCTCACTGCATTCATTCCAATCAATATACAGGAAACTACCACTGAAGGGAATTCTACAGTAAACTAAAATGTATGTAGTGGAATTACATTAAACTACAGTGTATTTTGGCTTAATTACTATAGATTAAGCAACTCTGTAAAAAATGGATCTATAAATTGGTACTTAAAGGCAGTTTGTTTAACTTCTTCCTAGATTTAGCTATGATAACTAATTCTGGGGTGTGTTGAAATGTCATATGGTAATAGGTATGAGGCTTGGCAAAAAGCACTAATCTGCATATACAAGTGCAATATATTAGAGATACCAGAAATACAAGTAGGAAGCTTGTGAAGCTTGTGGAAGAATACTGCTTTGCTTTGAGATCTTCTGAGCCTGAATTAATGCCATATCCCTGGAAGCTTGATTTAACTTGCTTTTGTATGAAGTATATGAATATCACCTCTGAAGTAAGCAACCCCCAAACAATCTGACCTGTAATTTAGGATTTTCAACGTCTGTGAACACATCAAATGGCTGCTACTGCAGAGCTCTAGGGACTAAATACTAAAATATTAATTACCATTTTTTGCATCTGCCTTTGCAGTGAGGAGAACAACACATGAGAATTCTTGTGCTTTATTTGATTATAAATGCCCAGGTTCTTCCCTCTCCTAAATTCTTCAGCTTTTATAAACATTAACAGTTTGAATTTACAAATGTTTTCAGCAGACTCTGATAGTAAAATAACACTTTTCAATAAGAGAATTTTATAGGCAGTATTATTCCAAACCACTAGCTTCCATAAACTTGAGGTTGTTCAATTTCATTGCCATGAGCACATTGCTTATATGTATCAGGTAGCCACTTCAAGAAACGTACCATCTCCACTTCATAAGTAGTGACCAGGTTGTACTATTATAAAATGTGAGGCTTCAGTCTAGTGTAGCCCAAGTATCAACAGCGCAAGTATTTTTACTGTGGCTGCACAATGGTGGGTGGAAGGGTGAGAGCAGTCATAACTAACAGTTTAAAAAAATAAATTGGAGAGTTATTTCTTTCCAGAGTGGTAATTTTAACTTCTCCTATTAGTTCATGTCCAAGTACATTCTGCTATTGTAAAAATACGACTTTTTTAACATCTAACTATCTCTACATTCTCCTTTGCCAAGTGTCACTTAAGTTGATCAGAGGCTGCAGTTAGCTTGTGGTGTCAGAGCCCTCTGCAGGTTAAAACATTGACAGTCCATATTAAAATATGCCTGAGTTTATTTTCAGGTAGATATCCTATTAACTCTAAATTCCCTGTTGGTTGATGTAGCCCAGAGTTCCATTTCTGTTTTTTTAATAAATACATTAATAAAAAATATTATGCTTTGATGGATTTCTCAGATAAGGACTGAAGCAAGTCCTTATAAATAGCAGAGTTCATAAACCGTGGGTAGGAGTCTCTATGCATTAAGGTGTAAATCTGAAGCTGTGCATCATCAAAAGTATGTTGTGATGGTTCCAGCATATTTCGGTTGATAACTTCCCTTACTCTGGAGTCCAGGCTGACCTGTGCATTTAAAAAAAAGCATTCGTTGACATTGGTAATAGCGCACATACTTTTCCAGCTCTACCCACTTAAAGTCCCCCACCCCATTTCAATCTTCACCCCTGAAAAAGTGTAAAGGGTCTCAGATATACATAGAGAGAATTATCACGTCCAACTTCGGATGCAATTATCTCCTCAAGTAGTGGAATCCTCTCAAAGACAGCCTTATTTTAAACAATGCTGTCTGGAATCCTATTTGTGCTAAATTCTGACGATACAGCTGGAATTTTTGCTCTTTCTGCTTAATAGTGCAGTGAATTTTTAATTTTGTGTGACTCGCTTTCGTTTCCTTGGGAATAAGTGTTGTCTGAGGCTGAATTCATAGCAGCAGAATTAACCAGAAAGAAGCTGCAACCGGTAGAAATGTTATTTAAGCAAATCCTTTTACTGAAGAGCAGGCAGAATTAGACATGAATTGCAAATAGTTATATCATGGTTCCATGAGAGCGATATTGTGAAAATTTAAATTTCAGTGAGGTGGCAGTCTCAAAGATATTGTGTTAACAGCTACTAGATTTCAGTAGTGCTTGTATCTGTACACAAGTAGTGCTTTTTCCACCACTGTGGCTAATAAGCTTTTGACTGATATTTGAGTTTATAGTCCTTCAGAACGAGAAACCAACTAAACAAACTCAACCTTGTTGTAGTGTAATGTTCAGTGTATAAAATATTTGCCAATATCAGACTGGTAGATAGCTTTGTATATCTGCTAATTTTGAGATAAACTTTTATTTATGGTTAACTTTTGCTGTATTGCAGGAGTTCTCAAAACAGATTATATTTGAGCAATTCCTTTATATTTTATAGCAAATTACGTTAAAGGTTTTAAACATTTTAAGATCTCCCATTTCATTTTTAACTGCTAAGAAAAAAACCTGGCCTGTTTGGTTATTTAAGCGAGGACAATGCTCTTTGGCCTGTTATGCCTAGAAATTACAGGTGTCTAACATCAGTGCTTTATAGTACCACATCTGCTGCTTTGTCTGTTAACTGGGAAGATGGAGGATAGTTTCAACCATGGCACCCTTATGCCTTCACTTTCTAAGTCTCCATTATTAGTAGGCTTGGAAGGATTAGATTTTTATCAGTAAATGTAGGTAAGCATCAATTTCACTGTTTACACAAACCAAAATTTCCGTCTGATCAAAATTTACAGATAGGCAAAGTTAGAAAAATGCTGCTTGAGAACTTAGTTGGATTTAAGGAAATGTACTTTGTATATTTTGATATGCATCTTGACATTGTGTGTTTTAATAGTTATAAAGCATTAGCTTTTTGAACCCCAGGGTCTGTTGTCATTAAATAATTGTCTGACCCTGACATAATTTCCTGCAAATGTGAAAATGTAAATGGATAAAGATTGAAAAATGCTTAAAACCCATAATATTGCAGAAGTGTGAAAATGTAAATAAAAATTAAGCTTAAAATAGATATTATCTCAGTTATAAACAAACAAGAATCAAATTCTGCCAAGCCTAATTATTAGCCATAAACGTCATAAGACCTGTATCCCTTGGTTTAGCTGTCTTTGCCTTTATTCATGTTACAACCACCACTGTGCAATGCAGAATTAAAGAATGACCTGTGGAGGGACACACACCTCTTTTGGAGAAAGGATAGAAATATAATCTTCATAGATTAACCTTGCTTTTTCTTCTATGACACTCTTGTTGGATTCCTGCTTTAACTCCTCACAGGCCATCCAGAAAAGCATGTTCTCTTCACTGAATTCTGTTCGGAGGAACTCCCGGAAAGCATTTCTGCCCGCTGGAGTGATCATTAACTTGTCAAATGACTGAGCCCAGGCATTTACTTCTTCAAGAGTAGGAGTGGGACTTGAATGAGAGAATAGAAAAGAAGATATTGATGCTAGTTACTCAAAATTCAGTCACTAGACAAGGCATTTGCTCTCACTGACAGAAAAAAGTGAGCTTTACATGAGTCTAATGCATGGTAGTTTGGACTGTTAACTGATACTCAATACTCTCACCCTGCTGTGAAGCTCTAGTAAACTTAAGGATCGGAGGATTGTGGCAGATAAACTGGGATCAAATGTTCCGATGACGTACACTAGCTTTATTTTAAAGCAATGCCTGAAGTTAATGTACAACAAAAAACCTTTATGCAACCCCTGAACATGTTTTCTAGGCTTCAAATGCACAGTTGTCTTTTTGGTTAGTCAGTGTCGCCATTACGGTATAAATATGCGTACAGTGAAGGCCAAGATATTAATATGTTTATAGCTGTTACCACAAAAGCTATACTCCTATCTTGGTTTGTATAGGCCCCCATCATAGCATCTGAGCACCCAGGAAAGGATAGCAAAAGTTAATTAGTTACCTGACTAATGATAGGATCTATGTTCTCCCTTGTTTATTATTCCTTATTGAAAGCTGGGCACTACCAGTTGGATTGGTTAAGTTTTTCACAAAAGTTATGGAAATGAGGGAGGAAAAAATTAGACTTGCAGGAGAATGGGAGATTCCGTCTTTACTATGTTGTTGCTATTGTACCACCATACAATGTAAGCTACCCCAATACAGAAATTTTTTAAAGTATGGGATTTGGATCAGGCCATGAATTAATGAAAGGTTCGAGTGGGAATGTTAGTAACATTCTGCTAGAGATGGCTGAGAATTGAATTTAAATAGATAGTGCATGGATGGCAGCAGGGGAGTAATTTGTGCATTTCAAACCATTTGCCTTGCAGATTTAGCTGTTTTATATATATAAATGCTCAAAGAAAGAAAGGATACCTCTCCTCACAGTTTGGAATACTCTCTGCTCTGAGTTCATGGGATGTCCTCCTTGCTCTCTCTTCATCTTGATTCCTAACAGTAAGACTGCAAGGTAGCAAACAGATAACTCAGTCAAGTTTTTATATAAGGAAGAGCTTGAAACTACATCAAATTGTTGATATTTAATATTTTACACACATTTGGTTTACCTTACCTAAAAGGGATAGAAATTACCTGTACCCTTTTATTTCATGATTCTCCTCGTGCACTAGTTTTACATCAGTGTAAATCCAGCAACCTTAACAAAGCTACTCCAGTTGCCAGGAGAATTTGGTTATCCAGTGTAGTTTCTCAGTGCAAGCTAGAGGGAGTTTGGTATGTGCTTCAAAATGTAAGGTGCAATCCAGAAAACACTAGCATTCTGGACTAGCTCTCTGAGTGGGGCTACTTATGGTAATAAGTACTATGCTTAATAGTATATGTCTTGACATAGTGTGGCCAGCATTGTAACTGGGACTGTTCATGGTAATAAGCATTAAACTCAGTATTTGCAGGATTAATATGAGGCTTACATACATGCCAAAGTCTCCCCACCGAGGCTCATTGAAAGCTCTCTCAGCACTCTTCAATGGAAGCAGGTGTCAAGTCCTCTTCCTGGTCAAATTCCAGTGTATTAGTAGTAATTTTCTAGCTCACTTAAATTCCCCAGCGCTTTCAGTTAGAGAACCTATCCTTGTTTCTAGACCTAAAACTTCCAAAGCTTGTGTATTTTCCTTTCACAGAGTGGGTGCTATATTCTGTCTTATAGGGGAGGGGAATAAACTGATCTTATTCTCCCTCTCCCTCTGTAAAGCACTTTTGAATTTGTCAGGAGAAAAAGGCACCAAGTAAATTATAAGGCACTATCCATAGTGTAACTGGATTTCCAGGCTCTTACCACACTTGACAACCCAGGGAGCTTGATAGAATTTCTGGGGAATAATTTGAAATCAATTTCTTGGTTTATCTTTAGCATTATTACATGAAAGAAAGGTATGGTTATCACTTAGGTTTGCCTATTTCATTTGCTCACCTCTTTTTAAACTTATGGCTTATATCTTACCTCCAACTTCGCTACCTGAACTAGTTCTAACCTTTTCCTTCCTCAAGCATTTGTCTATAGTCTGCGGAGACCTCCCCGCAGGTCTGTAGAATTTAAAAATGTTAAGGACTGAGCAATGCAGTTGAAGATTGGGAAGGAGAAGAGATGCGTCGTCTCCTACAAAGTAGTCCACACAGTGGAAAGGTGGAGAACCTTTGCTGGAACTAAGTCGAGTAGGGGGGTCACACTACTCACTGCAGCTCATTTTATGTAATGCCTTCAAATCACTGAGCTACCTTAATTCACTTTCTCTGTAAAGGGAGAAGCAGCATAATTGTAAAAGAACTATAATATCACCGTATCCCCTGGGTCTCATGATTTAAGGGAGGAGGGGGAGAGGGGAAGGACCTAATAGTGACCATTGATCCTGGTTTGTTTGTTTTTAAAGTTGTGTTTTCCATAAACAGCAAGAATATGCTTCTGCATGACATATGTTAGACTGAAGGAGACAAAAGAACAAATGTCTCCATAGGATAGCATTCTGCCTCCTTTGGAATACGTAATATTTACTGTGCCTTACAAAATGGTAGCTACTCCTTCAGAGAGGAAGACTCCCTAAAAGTGTAAAAGTGCAGAGCAGAGAGAACAAACTATTTACATAGCTACATCTATCTCAGGCTCCAAAAGGATAACAAGTATGTGACTTAAGTTATAACTGCAGCACAGACTTTGGGCATCCAGGCATTGGGACTCATTTCCTAGTCCCATAATGGTTCATTCTAATTCTAGTATTGAAAGGGCTGTGAATAGTGAAGTCTCTGCTTCTCAGCCACATGACTCATGTGGACTGTTATTTTTGTTTCTATTCATAATTTTTCAGTGGAAAGCACTTGAGCTATTTTGAGGAAAGACATTCTGTGAATAGGGATTATAAATAGAACATTTAATTGCCGTTTGTTTCGCATTCCTTGCTACTATAAAACAGTTGTTCTCAGAAAATTAGAAGTGATTTTAAGGCAGAGAAAAGCTGCTTTGTTTGTAGCCTGCACCCAGTTCTCAGGCTATTCTTAAATGGCAATAGGAATTTTAAGCGCCATCAAAATTGAGTAATTTCAACACCCCATTGAGTAAATAGCTTGCTTTGTACCATTTCAACATTTATGCTGCTTTTTCTGTGCCTGACAGAGAGTATAAGATAAAAGAGCGGAGGAGTAGTTATCAACAATTCAAAGGAAATAGTGGGAAGTGAAGTTTATATTAATCCATTAAGTCAGTGTACATGAAGTGCTTTTATTTCCTTTTCTTGGGCAATCTATAGATATGGGTGTATCTTATACGTATACACCTATGGGCTAAAACCATCCTTGACTCTTTGATCTTACCAGTGTTACACAGTTGTCAATACACTGGAACTTGGAGGCTCATTTACTCAGTGGGGTGTGGAAATTATTCAGTTGGTGGTGTTTTCTTAGGACCAGATCCAAATGTCTTTCAATCAGTCCTTTCTTGTGAAATTGTCTACACTGGCAAGTTACTGCGCAGTCAAGCAGCTTTCTGCGGTGTAACTCCTGAGTTGTACACACTGCCAAGCCACTTCGTGCGCAGAAACTCCTCAGTTGCAGCATTCCAAAAAACCCACCTCGACAAGAGTCGTGAGCCTTACAGTGCAGAGGCTCCAGCGCTGCATTGGCAGAGTAAACAAATTACAGCACAGAAAGCAATCAGTTAGCCTCCCGAAGTGTCCCATAATCCCTCAAGTGGCTGCTCTGCCCCTGAAGGCATGTACCCCTCCCCTTTCAAAGCTCCGTTTCTGACAGCCCTTGTGTGCTGTGCTGATCTGCTCCGGGACAGAAAGCAAACCATTAATGTGGAATGCTTGTGCTGTTGAACACGGAGGGGGGTGTGTGTGTGTGTGTGTGTGTGTGTGTGTGTGTGTGTGTGTGAGAGAGAGAGAGAGAGAGAGATTGATTGCTGGGCAGAGAGCTGGGGAGGGAGGCAGGGCCGGCTCCAGGCACCAGCCCAGCAAGCAGGTGCTTGGGGCGGCACGTCCGGCTCTTTGGCGGCAATTCAGCAGCGGGTCCCTCACTCCCTCTCGGAGCAAAGGACCCTGGAGCCGGCCCTGGGCAGGGACTGATGTTGGGGTTTCCTCCTCCCCCTGCCTCAGAACTGGTTGCTTCCTGTTGCTGTCTGTCTTACAAGACAGCATTCTGACACACTCTGTCCCCTAAGACACACTGTCTCTCTTCCCCGCCCCCCATACACACACACTCTCCTGTCACACATTCTGCCCCCGCCCCCTTCAGTTGAAAAGCAGCTGGCAATGTAGTAGGATGCCCATGGAATAATGGGATTGGGAAATCTGCATCATGTGACGCTGTGCCTGCCCCATGAGACATTGCAAACCCTTCCCAAAGCACCCTGTGGCCAGTTGCACAGTGGGATAGCTACCACAATGCACTGCTCTCTTTGCCGTTGCAAGAACTGCTAATGTGGATGTGCTCCACCATCACAAGGAGCACAGTGTGAACACGCAACAGTGGTTTAATTCCAGCGCTTTAATAAGTGGTATAACTTGTTGCACAGAAACTTGCCAGTGTAGACATACCCAAAATGTGTTCCTTTTGCTGTCATTTATTATACTATGCTATGCAGGACCTCGCACAATGGAACCCCAACCTGGTTGGCCTCTAGGCACTACCACAGTGTAAATGTTTAAAAAATATTCAATATAAAAAGTGTTAAAATATTTCCATATTCTCTGATAACTATTGACATAATTGTTGGACTTCTTTTTGTTGATTGCAGGGTGATTAATTTGATAGCCAGTATGCTTATGTTCTGAAGTCAGGTGCTGTGCAAGCACAAAAAATGATTTTTATAGGATATTTTCTCAGTCTGACACATAAAATGTTAACAGCACAATTCCCATTTATAATAATTGGAGTTGCTCAGTTACTGCTTTATACATGCACCAAAGTTCTTTTGTAGGTTGAGGTAAACTGGTGCAACAGAGAATTCCTTCTTCCAGTGGATGCAACCATGTATTCCGCTTAGGGAGGGTGTGTGTGTGTGTGTGTGTCCCCAGAACACTGGAGCCAGAGCATTTTGTCTAGCAGTACCTGTAGTGAAGCGGTGCTTGCGCCTCGTGGTCATAGCCCCTTCCCTGGCTATATGAGGTGGCACTGCCTTGACTCCCCTCAGTTCCTTCTTACTGCCCATGGCTGGAGTCAGAGTTCTGTGTGGTTTTCACCTCACAATCCCTTTATTTTTAGTGACTTTTCTAGTTGTATATAGTTACGGCAGTGTTAGTTAGATTTAGTGTTAGTTAGCTGTAGTTTAAATATTTCCCTGGTGATGCCCTCACCAGGGTTTAAACATTCTGTCATGTGGGGGAGCGATCGCCAATAATGATCCCCCGACATGGTGCTTGTTGTGCCTAGGTGAAGCCCATATCAAGGAGTGGTGGTCGATTTGCAGATTGTTCACCAAATGGACTTGGGTGGTGAGGGATCTTCGTCTGAAGCAGCACTTGCTTGAACAGACTATGCGGCCTCCTTTGGCACTGAGGCCCATGTCAAATTGGAGGTCACCCTTGAGTTCTGAGAGAGCTACCACTTTGTGTCCTGGATCTGGCAACTCGTCTGAAAAGATGGAGTCATTCCCTGTCGAGTGCCCTGAGGAAAAGGTTTCATAGGACTGACTGAAGCCACTTCAGGTCACATGGGGACTTATCTCCCTCCTCCAGAAGGAGCATGGGTCGAATGCTGGTGCATGGGACAGAGCAGTCCTGTCAACCGCTCCCCAACTGCTCTGCGCAAGGAGGTCAAAGACACCATATTGTTGACTCTGGTTCCAGCCCTGGGGCATCCACTGAGTCCAGGACCAACAAGGGCAATGCTGGCACTGGGTGTTTCTGCATCAGCGGCATAGCAGCCAGCAACAGACCTCTACCTTTCTGTCCTAACCTTGCCCTTGGTCCAGGACTTTGCCAGGGCTGCATCCTTTATAGCTCCATTGGCTGGGT